CTGACACTGATTTATGGTATTAATCGGTATTCGATTTTCGATACTGATTTACTCTTTCATTGCTCTATAAGAAAAGGAAAAATTGATACGAATCGTTCATTTATCCGCGTTAATTTTTTTTTATTATATATAAGTGGTCCATGGGACGATTAAATATTCGAATACATGTTGCCGTATCAATGTCTCCTCTACTATATAATAAACGATTTGACACGTCTGGAGGTGCATGATGTATCCGTTGCCCGCATCCCATTCCTTTCGTCCTGCTTCCCTGTATAAAATGTCGAATTGAAACGTATTAAAAAGTATTGACATTTTAAATCTGTCTGAATTTTGAATCTTTTTGATCCGAAGAAAAGGATTGAAAATTATTAATTTCCATTAAATTTTTCTACGCTAAATGCGAGACGGTCTCTTTCACCCGAGTGTCTCACCAGGGAAATTTCTCTGTTACGCTAAATCCCGTAAGGCCATCAGTCTTTGTAGTATATCTCGTCGGTGCATAAGGTTTATATTACCTGTACATACATATTTTGAAACATTTTCTTTGGATATTATATCAAACGGATTTTGCATGTCACGTAATATCCTTCGGACTACACGGACATTATTATTTTGATCATTTTGATTTCTTTGATATTCATTGAATTATCCAGAACGTGCAACTGCCATGTTGAATGACTAAATTGTCGTGTGAAATATTTCGATTTTCACAAATTCATACAAAATTTTTCATTTTTCACTAATTCACAGAAGTCTTCCACTTTTTATTAGTTCACGCTAGAGAAAAGATTCATGATAGCTGCCCCGAGCAGCTGCAACGCTTTTCGAATCATCTATGTCGGCGCGCTTTTACTCTTCAGATTTCTGTCATTAATAACACGATAATTATTGCGAATTTCGCAAAATGGTATGGGACTTTTATGTTTGTCTCAACCCAATCTACCCTCACACTTCGGATTGGCAGCTAATTACCGGACACTTTGTATGATCTTCATGATATTAATCACACACAATGTCAATTCTTTTTTTTGCACATGTTAACATGTTAATTCATATTATAAACGCGTAAACATATTATAACAATGTGCGAGACCGTACTTGTCAAGTACGCTATTATGGTTGTAGCACGGACATAAACCGCCTAAAAATGGATGTAGCACGGACTGCCATCACATACAGGTTTTACTGCCGAAACCTGAAAGTGGATGTAGTATCGTAGTTCCCCTCTCAAAATGGATGTAGATGGCGCCCTTTCCCAGTGCGGAAAGTCGGTGTCGTCGAAAACACCGTGTTGGCCGCTCTCACGTTCCTCTCTGCTACTACTCGAAACTATTTACTGAATTATCATCTATTTTTTTCTTTCTCTCTCTTCCTTCTATTTTCTTGTTTCGTTTAGTAAGCGATAGTTTACCAAACAATTAAATAACATAAAAATAGTATTAATAGCATACCTTGTAATAAAATTAACATTAACATAGGACTGAAGCAGACATCGACATAGTAAATATATAAAGTAGGAAAGAAGAGAATAAGAAAATTTAAGGAATAAATTTAGAGCTAGCTTATAGATTCATTTGTCTCGGAGACTAAGAACGATTTCGTTCAGGCACACCCGCGCACATATTGGAATGTGTTTATGTTATAAATGTCATCGAGCGATAGCTATTCCACGTACTGCGAACCAAACAAAGACCCGAAACAAAGACTAGAAGAGGAAAATAATTTCCTCTCTTTCTTCTATTTTTCTTTTTAAATCATATTAAATAATTGCCATCATATTTCGCAAATAACTCTTCAAATATTATTGTCAAACCGCCTATCCTAATATACATGCGCTTTAGAATCGTAAGAGAATCTATTCGTATTATTTAACTTTAACAATTACTACGCCCGAATGAAATAGTTTTTAAATATTCAAAATTTCCAAATTCTTATATTATACCAAAGGAAATGAATAACAACATTTCCATTTCTTAGTAAAACATAATTTTATTAATAAATCAGCCAACAACGAGACCACTGAATTACCAAACGCTACATATGATTAAGTATAATTTTAATTACTAGATAATAACATCTTTATATTTAATATTAATATTTAATATTAATAACATCTTTATATTTTTTAACCAATAAATAATGAATTGTGAATTAGGAAAAGACGCTCAATTGACACCCTAAGGGCAAGAGCACAGACTTTTGCATAACACATAATACATAACACATAAGAGAATAAACTAATTAGTTTCCTTCATTTCCCTCCTCAGGACAGAAATAAAGAACTGTGATTGATTGATTCTCTTATGCGTTATGTATTATGCGTTATGCCAGAGCTCGGCAAAATGTGCACGCGACGGCCGATTTTCGACTATCTTCACCCACCTATTCCCTTTACCTCGCTATTCCCTTTACCTCGCCGCTCCGCGCGCTGCCCACAAACCGCTCGAGCCTCAGGAGCGTGTTTCCAATAGTTTTCACGTCACCCATGAGGTACTATTGTTGATGCGTTTTTTTTTTTTAAGTGGTATCCCCAGTAGGCCTCTTCATTTTTCAAAAATGAAGTTTATAAAAAATGAAAAGTGTTCTTCTTTAAGCGACGATTCCTTATCACGTCTTATGCGGCTCGCTACATGCAATATCCAAATTGACGTTTCCATTCTTACCAATAAAAGACGCCGAAAATCGAATTGAATATTCTTCATTTAACATATTTTATTTCTCTTCTGTTCAATTAGTTACGGGTTGTTACAGTCATCAGTGGATTAGGCTTACTGGGGATACCACTTAAAAAAAAAACGCGTCAACAATAGTACTTCATGGGTGACGTGGAAAACTATTGGAAACACGCTCCTGAGACTTGAGCGGCTTGTAGGCAGCGCGCGGAGCGGCGAGGTAAAGGGAATAGCGGTGGGCGGAGATAGTCGAAAATCGGCCGTCGCGTGCACATTTTGCCGAGCTCTGCGTTATGCAGAAGTCTGTGCTCTGGCCCATAGTATCGGGCTTGGGTATAAAAAATGCTCAGCCCTTCGTGCACAGGTAGTCTCTAGTCAGTCTCTTGTTAGCCTCTAATCAGCCATCAGATAGTCTTTCGCTGAGCCTCTTGTTAGCCTATTGCCAAAAGGTCTTGAGCCTGGAATCAGAAAAGTCGGTATTAAAGATCATTGTTCTTGAGACTCCGTCTGCAAATGCTAAGACATTTGTTAAGACATAAAATCCAAATCATTAAAGGTCGAACGAGCCTCTTTTCCTCATAATGATACTGTAGAAAATTATTTCTATTACTTGAATAAGTATTGAGCCAGCTATTAACTATATTAAACTTAGTGTATGAATTTTAAAACTTAACAATATAGAGTAATTTTATAATATATATATGTATATATGTGTGTACAGATTTCTCTACCTCTCTTCCCTCACTGATTATCATCTTCATTTTTTTTCCATAACGCAGTGCTTGAATCACGAGCACTGTTCTTCTTTTCTTTATCTTAAGAGTGTTGTGCTTGAAAACCACCATTCTTCCTTTTTTCCCAGAACGCAGTGCTTGAACCACGAGCACCGTTCTTCTTTTCCTTACTTTAATGCCCATTTCTACCAACTTTGGTTAACTTAACCGGTTGGTTATTCCAACGGAATTGACCAGTCACATTTGTCATTAACTAGAATTATTAAATGCGATTGGTCCATTCCGATGGAATAATCAGTTGGTTAAATTAACCACGGCTGGTAGAAACGGACATAAGAGTGTTGTGCTTGAACCACGAGCACCGTTCGCCTTTTTATTCTTTAAACTTAACCACGTCCCTTCCATCTACCCTATTATAGATATTGTTAAAATAAGTATTACCAAAAACCTCTTATGCCGAAAAGAACAAGGAGAGCCGGACGATGGATTCAATTTAGACGTCTGTTAAAAAGTTATTATAATCCAGGCACGCTCGACCTGGCTGTTTTCAAAACAGATCCATCAAAATCTTCGGTCCCGAGAATAAAATCTGAAATAAAGGGAAATATATTTGAAGTTAAATTCAATACTAGCAAGGATATTATTATTTTTAAACCTAACAGTAACCCACCTTCAAAGGTAACAGATTCAAATAATAAAGATTTGGACAAGAATAGCGCTGATCCGAAGTAAACCAAACGAATCTAGACATTGCATGTTCTATGCTTGTCCAAGACGTAACACATATGTGGTCTGTTCTTTGTAGCTGCGCTGTTGAACTGGTGCAAATAAGTTAAAGTGAGACAAATATAGATTTTCTCACTCTAGCTTATTGCACCAGTTCAGCAGTGCAGCTACAAAGAACAGACCAATGGTTTGTTCTTTGTAGTTGTACTGCTGAACTAGTGCAATAAGCTAGAGTGAGAAAATCTATATTTGTCTCACTTTAACTTATTGCACCAGTTCAATAGTGCAGCTACAAAGAATAGACCAATAGCTATTTCATTGTACCTCGTCTACAATAGAAGTCATAGAGTCGTAAGTCGTAGAAATTGACCAATCATAGTCCGGTAAGAGAAAAATAATCGACCGCGATTGGTCAATTTGTACGACTTACGACTCTATGACTGCGGCCTGATCTACAATACGTGTCATAAGTTGTAAGCCGTAAGAATTGACGAATCATAATTGATTATTACAAAAATAATCAGCTATAATTGGTCAGTTCTTGCGGCTTACAGCTTACAACATCTATTGTAGACCAGGCCTGCGTTCCGTTTCACGCAATATGTGCGCATTTTCTACAGTATACGTAACATGAACTATATATAAACGCGCGCATCTGCGTGAAATGGAACGCGGTCTAGGACTTCTATTGTAGACGAGGTATTGGAAAGCGAGAGCTGCAATCGCATCCATGAGTAATTTTCGATTAATCGATTATTTTTCGACTATCCCACTACATCACTTGGTCTGTTCTTTTTAGCTGCATTACTGAACTGGTGCAATAAGTTGAAAAAAATATAGTTGTTTCATTCTAACTTATTACATTAGTTCCGCAGTGCAGCTAAAAAGAACAGACCAACTGATTTTTTTTAGTACAATTTGGTACAATTGTTAGACACGTGTTAATCGTATGCGATTATAGTGTTAATTAATAAGAAATACGTATTGTGATTGAATAATGGGTAAAGGACGAAAAAATAAACCAAGGAAAAATTTTGCTGAGAAACGTCGGGAAAAGCAAAAGGTTTGATTATTTCCTGTACTGCATTTTAATAAACTGAGAAACTCAGAGAGAGAGAGAGAGAGAGAGAGGTTATTTACTATACTTGTAAACTTATACTTTATTATTGAACTGATACTTTATTAATTTTGTATTTACTAATATATTCTTAGAGGGAAAAACTTTAATTGCATCTCATTTTGTTGAAAAATATATTTGATATGGGACAATAGTTTTAAAGAAGATAATATTAGAATATTATTAATGTTTGTAGAAAAAAGATGAATGGGACAAAGTTCCTCAAAGCTATCCAGATATTATCAGAGAAAACAAGGATTTTGAAAATTATTACAAGACTCAAGAAATAGTTCTAGAAGATAAATGGGATGCATTTATCAATACAATGAGGACCAATCTGCCGGTTGCTTTTCGTATAACTGGCTCTAAAGTAGAAGCTAAGGCTTTATTAGAGATAATCAAAAGTGACTTTTTTAAGAAAATTTTGAATACAAATTTGAATGATGATAGTGAAAATTCCAGTAATGAAATAGAACCTATATTACATAGTTTACCCTTTTATCCTGAAAAATTGGCTTGGCAATTGCAATTGACTAGAAAAGATATCAGACGATCGGAAGCTTATTTCAGGCTGCACAACTTTCTTATTGCTGAAACTGACAGTGGTAACATCAGTAGGCAAGAGGTAGTTAGTATGGTTCCTCCTCTAGTTTTAGATGTCAGGCCTTCACATAAGGTATGAATTTAAAATTTTTAAATTTGTGTAACATAAACAGTAAATAAAATAAAATATATAAACCATCTTTGTAGGTTCTTGATATGTGTGCTGCACCTGGATCAAAAACAGCTCAGCTTATAGAGATGATACATGCAGATGAAGACAATATTGTACCAGGTAATAAATATTTAATTATTTTAAGCTAACCACAAATCTGAACATTCTACTTTTATTCCAGAGGGTTTTGTGATAGCCAATGATGTCGACAATAATCGTTGCTACAAGCTGGTGCACCAAGCTAAAAGACTAAATAGTCCAAATATTCTTATTACAAACCATGATTCATCTATTATGCCTAACTTTACAATTACAAAGCCAGATGGTACAAAAGATATATTAAAGTATGTAATATAAATCTAATTATTTGATAACATCTGTGTTTAATAATCTATATATTAAAAGTTCTATACAATTTTTATTTTGTTATAGATTTGATAGAATACTTGCGGATGTCCCATGTAGTGGTGATGGTACTATGCGAAAGAATCCAGATATATGGTGCAAATGGAGTCCTGCTAATGGCAGTAATCTCCATGGGTATAATTTATTATTGTTTGATATAAACTGATGTTTTACAATTATACGGAATATTAATTTTGACTTTTCTAAAGAATTCAGTATAGGATAGTGAAACGTGGTTTGGAATTGTTAACAATTGGGGGAAGGATGGTATATTCCACTTGTTCATTAAATCCTATCGAAAACGAAGCAGTGCTTCATAGGATCCTTCTTGAAACTGGGGATTCAGTACAGTTAGTGAACTGTAGAGATTTAGTACCAGGATTAGTGTGTGACCCTGGTTAGTTTTTGGAAAGTAGTATACAAAATATCTAAATTTATTTCTGAAGAAAGAAAAATATATAAAGATACGAATCTTTAAAAATATACTGAATTATGTAACATGTATTTTACAATCAGGTGTTACTCACTGGAAACCAGCATCTAAAGATTTACAACATTACAATGCCTGGGAGGAAGTTCCAGAACAGTGGCAGACACAAATACGACCAAAAATGTTTCCTCCACCAGCGAACGAGGCCTTCAAGTTTCATCTTGAACGTTGGTAAATATTGAGTAAATTAGCTGCTCAAGATGTGTCAACTTATTATTGAATAAGTTATATTTAAACTTTCTCAATTCATAGCATGAGAATATTGCCACATCATCAAAATACTGGAGGCTTCTTTGTGGCTGTACTGGAAAAAGTGAAATCTCTGCCATGGGAGAGTGAAACGTGTACATTAAGTCAAAATGTACAGAATATAGTTGATAGTGAAAATAAGGATGAATTAAGCCTCGAAGAAGAGGCAGCGCGAGACGCAAAACTTCTAGAGAGTGGAAAAAGGCTATTAGTAGAAGAAACGAAACAAAGGAAACGCAGAAGGATTGTTGGTTATAGGGAAGATCCATTTGTTTTCTTCAAAGACGAATCTGAAGACGCGTGGCAATCCATCAAGTAAGTTCCAGTTCCTTTTTTTTTACTATACAACAATGCACCAGTTTAGAACTGTTTACTTAATTTTCTAAACAATTGGTTAAGAAAAACAATAATTTTACATTTGATTTATATGTATCATTAGGTTTCTTAATAGATAGTTTTTTAGTTGCTATTTTTAGTATTACTAATAAATAGTACACTTGCTCTTTCTCATATTGTTCGATATGCTTTCCCAGAGATTTTTATGGTATATCTAATAATTTGGATTCGCGACATTTATTGGTGAGAAGTTACGAGGGAAAGAAGAAAAATATTTACTTCACGTCACCGGCAATCCGTGATTTGGTGATATGTAATGAGAACAAAGTCAAGTTGATAAACACTGGCGTTAAAACATTCGTGCGATGTGACAATAAAGGTTTAAAATTTCGACTTGCTCAAGAAGGAGTACAAAGTATCGCTCATTACATAAGTGATAGGAGAAAACTTCACGTTTCAAAAGAAGATTTAATCATGCTTTTACAAAATAACGATCCACACACACCACCTGAAATTGTAAAATTGAATTTAGACACTCAGGAGCGTCTCAAGGATTTCGGTAAGTATAGCAATAACAGTTTCTTTTTTTGCTCTTACATTATACATAAATATTGCTTGAAAAATATATTTAATTTAAGCGACCGGAAGTTGTATATTGTTATACAAAGAAGAGAAAACTGACAGTCTGAATCCGCTAAATCTGAAAATGGTAGGATGGAGGGGAATTATGTCTCTTAGAGCATATGTATCTACTTGTGATGCGGTTCACTATTTACGACTTTTAGGAGCGGATTGCTCGAAATTTGGTATGTTGAACATAATATAGTAATATCATACATATTGCGATGTGTGGAAGAATACGATTATTTACACCACAATTTTACAGAGAAAAATAAGTTCGAAGAAAGTCGCGCGGCTCTGTCAACTGAAGATATCAACAACGGTAAAATTGAACCCGAAGATTCTATCAGCAAAAAGACCGCTCTCCCGGAGAATGGCGATGGCACAGAGAAGATTAATGACGCAGAGGTCGAGACGAATAAATGACTTATTACAGCGTAATTATGATTTAACAAGTTTTCTAATGTTTTATGCGCGTCCTCTTCTCGCTGTGCAGATTATAGTTATATATATAAGTGAAATATTTAAATTACATTTTTTACATAAACCGGGACATTCTTTTTTTATCTTAACCACGGCCAAGCGTTATGACGATATAATAGCCTGAGCTAAGAATTATGTTATAAATAAGTCAAATAAAAATATGATTTTGTAGGATAAAAACTTTGACAATGGGGTAATGAGGGAAATGATTACTTTTACTGTCTCTTTTCTATGAAATAACTATTTTATGAAATTACATGCGTTATATTAACAACATTATATATATGTATATATATATGTATATGTATATATATATATATATATATATATATGTGTGTTGTTTGAACGACCGGGAACTTCCTGTTCTTGAGCCTAATGTTTATTTGACGCATCTTGCCATATATAGTAATATAGTACAAATTTTTGTTATAAATATGGCCGGATGCAGAGGAATCGTATTAATTCTGAAATAACTGATGTCGCAACATCTGATAACACTACCTAATAATTGATACAACCCCATAAATGCCCCTGGGTATCATGCGATAACGATAGAATGAATGGAACCTGTCAACAACCTCTAATGTTCTGCACTTTGGCTATTTGCCAAAGCACACCTTCCGTACGACTTTTGTGAACTCGCTTCATGTAATATATCGTATCTAAATTTTCAAACGTTAGGATTCCAAACTTACGACTAAATATCCATTTAATGTGGATTTCTACGAATAAAGGACGGGTTCTGCTATAAAAATCATTTAAATATAAATACAAATATTAAAAATGCTGGATAGCTCATAACGTATACATAAACTATAAAAGAAGTCAAATAAAAATTCTCTTAAGACTTGTCGAATTTTTCCGTTGGCTTTGAAGTTGATGCCTGATGCTAGTAATCCCTACTCGTCGGCGACGTCAATTTGCCGCTAAGATTTTGAGAATTAGATGGCGACTTCGAACCTAAAAATACACAAGAAATTGGAAGTAAAGTCGCGTGTATTACAATATTTAATTTAGTTTAATTTAAGAGGATAAGTGTTTTACATCCTCGGCAACTTTTTCCCTACAGAGAGCTATTTTATTATTATAAAAATAAAAATAATTTTCTCTCTATCAGGCTTAAAACATTATATTGAAACTCACAGCTTTTTCCGATTTTGCTTCGTGGATTATTTACACACGGATGTTCTCCCATAAGATGCTCCCTCCACTTGTTTTGATTGACTAAAGCCGAACAAAGAGGACAGCGTTCGTACCCCTCTATAGGTTCTAAAATAAGAATCAGGATTTTTATTTCTCATATGCTTCAGTCGGCAATGGTCGCATCATAAATTTCAGCGTAATAGTATAGCAATACGCCTGCATACTTGTGCACTTCTTGTCCTGTCTGTGGTTCTCGAAAGCGTTTTCGTGCACCGCTTGTTTACACGTCTCGCATTTCACATAATTACTCCTCATATCGCATTCATCTACGAAGAAAGAACAGCGATCGAATTTAATAGATATAATTTTTATGGCACAGGTCACACACACACACACACACACACACACACATAGAGTAGAGTCATTTCGGAGAGATTTATTCATCGTATTTTTTTTCTTCATAATTTTCTGATTTTTATGTACTTACTTAACAAATGTAGATTCAGATAGGATATCTCTACGACCTGTTTACATGCTTCGCATTTTGTTAACATAGGGCAAGTCCTCCAGTAATGTATATTCAAACCTTCTTCAGAATACACTTGACCCTTCGACAGGCAAAATATGCACATTCTAGCAAACGAGACGGGCATCATAAAAATGTCATATCCTTTGTATTTAACATTCATTTAGATCGCGCTATGCTCACTTATCTCCTTTATGATCGGCGCTGTTCTCGGACGGAGATGTGATACTCGTTGAACTTCCGGTACTCACGACCGGGCTCGATCTCGACGGTGATTTAGTTAGATTAGTTACATTATTTTCCGTAGATTTAGTTCGTGTAGGCGTTGTCGTTGCTTTATGGGTGGACTCGGCTTCCTTCTTCCTCTGCAATCAATCACATGCGTAAATCCGCGTGACTTGACCTTTTCTACTTCAAATATCGCTCTATACCTGCAAATCGATCAGATCGAATTCGTGGAAGAGCTGGCGATATAATAGATTTCGTCGAGTGATGTCATCGTCAGGCGGCAATTGCTTTCGCACCAACCTGGGATTGACTTTGTACACTAACACTAAAATCCTCTCGGATACTTTCCGTACCGCCTCGGCCGGATGATGCAGACCGGAAGAACCTAATTCGGATAACGTCCGACAGGTCAGCCCGCTACAACAATTACAATACCTTATCAGAGTAATTGCGTTTTAATAATACAGGGTCGATCTTGAGGAAGGACCTCTGCGGATCGGTCGCAGTTAGATTGGAGTCAGAAGGACTGCGCTACGATGGCAGAGGTCGAACATTCCTCAAAACGTCTGGTAGTCCTTAATTTGTTGTTTGAATACCCTGAGGGTATCGTTTAGAATCACCTTTGCTTCTCGGTGGAGATACCGTGGCTCAGTATCAGCTGCTCCACCATCTCCAGTCTGCTCAGTGCCAGCCTCTGATGAGTGCTGCTGTTCACTGGCCTGGTCAGATGCACCGGTATTATATGTAATTCACGAACGCATTTGCAATCAGCCATGCTGAGGATTGTGTGTACTGCCATGTTGTGTATTCTAGGGGTAGTATCCCCGGATTTTGTTAGAAGTTCGGGTAACAGACGTTCGACGCTTCTGGCGATCTCCGTTGAAGATACCCTAAAACGAGTCTCACCTCGTAAGTTCTTGTTTAAATTGGAAATAAAATATTAAAGATATTTTTAATAGATAAGGGAGAAAATTCGGGATTATCTGAAAAATTAGCGCAATCTAAATATATCAATCTGTTGTTGACAGTGTTGTGCTTAGATGATTTTTAAATTAGCTAAACAAAGATAACATGAAATATATAAATTCCCCTTAACACTTTGTCCTGACTATATAGTTTGACAAAAAAATGTCAAATTGACAAATCAATTGACACAAAAAAATCTTTTTGAGGATTAAAATTTTTAACAACATAATTTCGATTGCAAAACTTCTCTAGCATGTCACGTTTGGTAGTTATAATATGCAAAATACGTAAGTATAGTCTTTTTCGCAACTTTAATTGCAAATATCTCAAAATTGCGACGTGATGGGACAATTTGGAAATCAGATTCGTATATTTAGCTTTCAAAAGCTACAAGAAATGACCAATTTCGTTCTAATGGTTTGTTTTTGTCGAATAGTGTTATAAATGAATGCAATCTCAGTCTCAATGCTGTCTGATGCATGCGATACTAATGCAAACATTTACGACGTAAAAAACAAACATTTCAATATTTCACACATCTATAGCAATAGAAAGCGTCATATCTTGGATACTTATTTTTTTTAAAGTAACATTCTCTTTTCATATACACACACACATATACATAATTTTATTTGAATGTAAGCAAACATTGGTTATTAATTAAATTAAATTATTTTAAATTAATTTCAATCTAAATGTATCACATCGATAGTTGATTAAGTATAAAAAACTTTTATAATTTATATATTTTATATATATAATCATATAATTACATAATTATAAACTTTCGTATAGTCGATAGGAGAAGTTTACCTGTCCGCCGCGAATTCAGCGAAGAAGATCCTAATGAGCTGTGCCGCCAAGCTATACACGCTGAAGACTTTATCCCTAAGAGCCCTGTGTAACAGTAAGATTGCCGCTCTGGCTGTCTTATTCGGCGAATGTTTCGATACCTCTGGGTCGAACGTCTTCAGTTCTTCCTTCAGTTGCATCAGTCCCTCCTCTTTGTCCGTAAATTGTTTCGAATAAAACTTCTCTACCTGCACATAATCATCGTTATCGTTCTCCTGTACTCGAAGATTCACAAGTATCTTGGGCACAGTTTCATTACCATGTCCATGCCGAAGACCGCGATGGGCAACGCAGCCTGTTTCTTCTCCCGGTCGTTCAGTTTCGAGGTAACTTTCGTTTCTGCGCTGTCCAAGTGACATTCCCTCGTGAACTCGTTCGTGTGCGAGCTAACAATGAACGTCGAGAGGTTTCTTACATAAATTACCCTAATGTTGTTGTGAATGTTCTTACTGTCTCAGAGCAGGGATAGTTCTCTCCTCGTAGGCTTCGTAGCTTGAGCGAAGGGCAGGACCCGCTGACTTAGTTTTCCGCCTGAGAGATCCTTTATTGCAATTGCTTTGTCTCTCAAGAACACCGTTCGTTGGGCTATCAGTTACCTCTGAAAAACGGAGTAATACGAAAATTTGCCGTTAAATATGGAAGATAACATTACCCCTGAAAACCCCTGAAAATTTAAATTACATCGGAAAGGTCACGATTGCTTAAAAATATTGTATCGTTCAGACAATAAAGACAATCTTTTTTTTTTTTTCAAACACAATTCTTATATGTGTGTGTGTGTGTGTGTGTGTGTGTGTGCGCGCGCGCGCGCGCGACAGGCTGCAATTGATTTACGTCGACGCCCTCGAAATGTAATTATTAGATATCTTTCGAGCTACCAGGACTGTTGGGCTTCTGATGTAACGGCGACACGGGCGGCTGGTGTGCAGGACCAGTCGGTGACAAGGCACCGTCGCGATTAGGTGGTATAACTAGTCTCGGGGGGGACGTGATGTCGTCAGGAACCACCGCCGCCGTGTTGGAGGTACACGTGTCCGTCGATATCGGTTCTTTACCCTCCACAGACGACAGGTTGTTCTTCTCCATGGGCTGCGCCGTTAATTGAATCGACACTCGTCATATCGTTGCGACAGGAACTACTGAGAAAATCACGGAACAATACTCACTCCGTGTACCTCGAGCAAGTTGTATATCTCCAACGACTGATAGACCTGTTGTCGATACTGCTGGGCTTGGGCCTTCTTAGCCTTGGCCTTGTCATAGTCTTCCAGAGCAATGGCGTACTTCTTCTCCAGCTCATATTTACCCAGACGTTCGCCTGCCTTTCGCAGATTCTCCATCGCGACCTTCAACTTCGAGGCGTATTCGAATCTCTCCTCTGTTGAAAAAGTTGCGCTCACATTCTGCGTCGACTTGCGACACGTTCGCTTGAAGTATAGCCGAGTTTAACTTACATTGACAAGTAATGGTTGCGTCTTACAGGAAAAGTTGCTTTGCAACTGTTGTAAAATTTGTGAATCTAATTGGAGCGTGCTTTTAAATTTGGCTCCAACCAAGAGCATGCACCAATCAGATTCATGAATTTTACAACAGTTGCAAAGCAGCTTACTCTGCTGAACGTAAAGCTCACATTCGCGCGCGCGATGTTAACGATGTTAAAGTTTCAACCCTGAGCCTTTTAAATATTTCGTACACAAGTGTGATGTATGCAATATACGAGACACGCCGGAGCGGTAATAATTACCTTCCACCGCCTGCAGTTTCTTCGCTTCCATTTGTCTGATGATCTTGGCCACTTCTCGGTCGACGTACATTTCGAACGCTAGATCGTCGTAAGGCGAGGTGTAATGCGGATTATACGGGGCATCCCCTTGCCCGGTTAATTCTTGACCATAAGGTTCGCCAAGTATATTAATAGCGATAAGGCCAACCTGACGATAGAAAAGACTTTTTCAACTTGCCGCGGAATTTTTCAAGTGAAAACCTCTGACTTTCTCGTCCGTTGAAAAGTCCCTTCTGTTCTATCGAACTGTCTCGTTCGATTTCACACTCGTATACATCTCGCTCTTGTATTTTATTTTTAAATAGTAATTAGTAAACATGTAATCAATTATGTCAGAGTGCTTCGCGTACCTGACAGCAAGTGTTGTGCGCGTTACTGTGCGGTTTATGTAGCCTAAGCTTCAACGACACCGCTTCTGTCTCCGGAAGAGCCACGCTTTTCAGTTCTCTGCTCTTGTAAAGGGTAGAAGCGTTATCGGACAGCGTGATGTAGCCCAGGTAACTGAAGTCCGTCGAAGCGGATGCATTTTCCTCCCTCGATGTCCAGATCTCCAGTTTCTCGGCTGCAATAAGAGCGTCGCGTTTCACGCTTTCCGCGAAAATGACTTTAATTTTCGCCGGCGGATTCATATCCGGGCGATCCCTGCAATCTCGTGTAGAAACCCGGCATAATTCTCCTGTCGCCCGTTACGGCTTCATTTCCGACTATGCAGCCGGAAGATACGAAGAACGCGAGAGAGAAATAGGAGGGAGACGATGTAGCCCCGGGAAATCAGGGTAGATTCGTTAATTCGATTTCCATTGTCGGTAAATTGCCTTTCAGCGGGAACATCGTTTTAACGGTCAATGGCGGCTTTAAACGCGTCGGAAGAAAACTGTTGTTCTCGCATTTGACGTTTTCGTCTCAATAGTTAGATGCGTTATAAATTGGAGCTCTCTAATATTCTACAAGCGATGTAAGATGTTCTAGAAGAAAAGTATCTTTGCAAATATGAAATTTTTTTTTTTTATATTTTTTCTCTCGCAATTTTTATGCGACGTTTCATTTCAATATATACTTTACAAATAATTTAAGCTCCTTGGTATTTTACAAGCGACGTGTAAGATATCCCTAAAACGGGAATACTTTTGCAAAATTTGTAATGTTTATTCGTTTACAATTTATACGCTACTTCACGAATAATTGACAGTTTAACGTCTACCGTCTGTCGATTATCTTATGGAAAGAGAGTGGATTCAGCAGGTTAAATCGCAGAAATACTCACGTATGAGATACTGATGCGCTAGGACTTGTATCCTCGTGAGTTTCGTGGGCCCATGAAGACGTAGAATAAGTTCCTGAGGATACGTGCAATTTCTTGCGCTCTGCCAACCTCTCACGGTCGGCCCGTGGACGTTAAGCTCTAACGACGAGTGTCTGTCCTCCTCGCCTTGAGAGAACAGATTGCAGAGTCCAGTTAATCGGTCTTAATCTTTTTACTACGAAAAGTTACACTCCAACAACCGTTTCACCCCTTTCCTATATCATCTCAACTTCGAATAGACATTATCCGTCGTTATTGTATTTCTCTTCAACGATACATGTGCACGCCTCGCACGTTGTCGATGTATTTAAACGACGACAATAAGAACTCGATTCAAATTTTCACTCGATAACGGTTTTTAATTAACCTAGACGATTTTCTCCGGAATAACCTCATTATTTCCCTTGCTTTTAAGAGAATCGACAGAGTTTATAATTGTAAATCAACTAGAATTAATAAGCCCGATATGTTGGTACAATGTACAGGTTTGCAGGTATTCAATCAGTCAGGCCGAATGTCGATCGAGCAGGTTCGAGAAGGTTCCCACTGTACGTTACTTACTTATTAATACACAGGGTTGCACAGTACTATATATTCTTACATAATACTTGGATATTTTCTCGAGTCTCGCTTCCAACCGCCAATTTTCTCTTTTCCTGCTTTTCAACATTCACGACTAATTGCTTTCCGCAAGAGAAATTCCACCTACGACGTTATCGCGTATTTGCTATTTAGACTTTCAAAATACATCTTTCGAGAGAAGTAGCGCAATGTCGGCCGCTATGTCACGCGATACTGCAATTTCGTGCGCGATTTATGGCCGCCTAACGTCGTCAGGAGAATATGTGCATCGCGAATGTCATGAGTCGTTCGTACCAGCAGGCGTTCACGGATATACAACGATGGTTGGTGCATTTGTTGCAAGGCACCGTTTCGCAATATAACGTAAATCATCGCCCGCGTCGACCCGGAAGAAATCAGACCCGGAACACGTGCTATAGAACACGCTCTCGCCGTCGGAAATCACGGATCGGGAGAATCCACGGCTCATCTCGCATCATGAAAAATCAATGTATCAGAATGCCCGACGAGAGAGGCGCGTTCAAACGCGAAAATCCTGACTGGTCACTGCAGCCGAAATAATTGAAGCGCTGAGAATCGCGCACGGATCCCCTGAGACAGCAAAAGGTGAATTTCCGAGCGTACTGAGAGAGAAAACCCCGGGAGAAATTCTGTCAAATTTTATCTACACACGCACACACACACACACACACACACACACACACACACACACACACACACACACACACACACAGAACAGTTAAATATGAATTACGCTTGACTTAAAGCGATCCTTCTAATTACAAGAACAATCATGCACATTATTCGCACCATTTTGTACGTTGTAACACTACGATATTGCCAGCTATTGCGTTACATTGGCATCGTTATATTAGAAAGTGTGCGGAAGGCGTTTATTGACGGAACAATCGCTCGATTTCGTTAAAAAACGCGATGTCCGTCCGTGTAATTCTCTTCAGTTCTTTGCTAATCTCGGCGCGCCCGAGGTTAGTCCGCGTTTTACATTTACAACTGTGAGCCCGGCGGCCTTACTCGTGGCGTAGACGACGTTGAATCCGACTTTCCTAGGCATGTCGAAGATCGCTGATCGTCAGGGAGTGGCGAGAACGATAAAGCGAGCGAAGAGTCAAGCGGTCGAAATGTTACACTACGAAACGTACGAACGAACGAACGGAAAGGAACGGAGGGACACGTCAAAATCTAAAAGGCACAGCCATCTGCAAGCTCGATAAAGGGGGAGCTTGCAAGTTTCACCCCGGCGCGCATGCCACCCCACTTGCACGTCCGGCCGCGGCGAAGCTTGCGACAGAACTGCCTTCGTGTTGGAACCACCGTCTCCGCCGTCACTGCCGCTCGCTGAGGGTTGATATTTTCTTGCGAAAAGACATGCGTAAAATTCGCGAATGTGCGACGCTTTCGTACGCGTCGTCGAAACGCGATGTCATCATGCATCATCGAACGATCTCATATAGTCATATGCGTCACAGTCTCGCAGATAAGGGATGAATTAAGGGTTTAAAGGAATTCACTTCTATCAATCGTGAAAGATCAGGTCCTGCCTCTGTGACGATAGAATCGCTCTCTGCACTTCATTATTCTCAACTGTTTAATTTTAATTCTGTATTTTAATTTTGTATTTTAATTTTGGCAGAAAGAGGTTGAAAATTAAAACAAGCCTCTCACTCCAGTCATGTTTAAAAATAAACTTGTTTTCTTCGGATTGTTTAGTTAAAATTGACGAAAATAAATTTTCTTCAGTTTATTTTAGTCTCTATTCATTTTTCACAAAATTATAATTATATTATAATTAAAAAAAAAAATAAAAAATGAAAAAAGAACGATTACGACGGACAACTACGAAGAGGTCTTTTATATTTTGTATTTAATGAAACTAAATTCTTTTCTCTTCAGCGGTCAAGCGCGGTATAAATTTCCCGAGAAAGCCGCGCTATTCTATACGAAACATCGAGAAATTGACTTTATAATTGATATTGTGCGTTATGAAGTTTATTTCTCGAGTCAATATCTACATTTCCAGTTAATGTAGTCTATTCACGTCTTGCATTTTATTCGCGTCGAAATATAGACTATAATTTCGTAATGGATCAATAAACGGAGGCTGCGTGACGTCAGAGGGTGCGGCGAGGGTGGACAAGCCTGCGAGAATCGTTATACACGCGCGCACCTTTCTACCGTTCGTAGTCACGTGTAGGCGCACGTGTCGCATTAAAATAACTAGGATTGTTCTTGAGCGAGAATATCCTTGTTATGAAAGCATCGCGTGAAAATATTCACACGACAGAAATATTTGTTGCCGCAATCTGGACACGAATATCTGAACTATTTGATATCTTCATGAAATGCTAGCGACGACTGTCATGTATAAATACTCCAGTTGATGCAGTCTTCCACATCTCGGTGTGACACTTCGAGAATATGGGAGAATTACTTGGTTCGGTTAGCGACTGACAAAGTAAAATGCAACATTTTATCAATTTATTTGTGTAAACATAGCATTATATATGTACATGTAAAATTATTTTCCAACACATATATCATGTATGTCAATCTCTCAACTAATACAAAATCTGAAATATTAGTTGAGAGATTTAACGAGAGCTTGTAAAAAAATGACACCATTATTATCACAGTGGAATATTCAGTTATGTAGTAGCAAAGAGATACAAAAGACCCTGCACAAACTGAAAGATTTCTGATCCGCCCAACTTGGACTGACCATAGACTCTGTCAACAAATGTGATTGGTACCTCTCCTATCGTATAATTCCTCTGTCTAGCTCTGACAATGATTTCCATTTGAAATACATATCCTTTTGAGACACATGATGTTATCAATTGCTTCAACACATCTTTCTTGTAAAGTCTAGAATTGTGAAATTGAGAAATAAGTTAAGATGTTAGGTATAATATTAAGAATGAGTTTAGAAAGGATCGACCACCTGAAGCTGCCAGTGAGATCACTTGCACCAGGTCTTAGCAGAAGCTGAGTTAAGAAATTTGCACTTCTGCTTACTAATTTTCTCTTGAAATCCCAGCCATAGACGCCACCACCTTGTGCATATCTTGTGCCACTGACGATATCCAGATTGAGGTATCTCTGTACCTCAGCCATTTTCGGAATGAATTTAGGCTGCAAAGTAAACGCTGTTTTTACAGAGGTACTTTTTATTGTTATATATATATATGTAAGTTATTTGTTAATATCAAGTATACATGATGAGACAAGTCTGCATCCATAATAACAATAAAATTGCCAGTTGCATATTGAATTCCATGCATATAAGCAGTTCCTAGTCCGAGTTTTTTTTCTCTAGGCTTTAAGACTATCTTATCCTCGCCGTACAAACGTTGCAGTTGTTTAGCCATGTCCAGAGTTCCATCTGGAGAACCATCGTCTATCACGATGATTTCGTAGGAAAGTTTGCTACAATATTGTAGATGTTTCTTCAACAATATTCCTTTCTAGATACGCAGCTTAAATTTATTTTTTTTTTCCTTCTTTAATTATCGATAATATACTTCTCGGTTCGAGGTTATAAAAACTGTTTAGTTACCTTTCTTCCATATATTTTACGATAAGCCATATTATTATTGGTAGGTTCTCCACCTCATTATAGGTCGGAAGCAGAATTGAATATTTGTCATTTTTGAACAGGTCCTGTACATCTTTCTTCACTTGATCTTTATTTACCATTTTAAAATCTGTTTACAAGAGACTTGCAACGTGACACTTGGCGACACTGAAAAGCAACGAGATCTTTGATTCAATCATTGGTAAGACTGATTTATCTGTCATAGAAATGTCAAACATGTAGATGCGTGTATTAAAACTGTATATTAATTTCTTATGCTTGCAGCGACATCACTGGTACCGAGCCCCGCGATTTTCAAATGTATTAAAATTGTATCTTGCAATGCATATTATATTTTAAGTAGTTCTTCACTAGAAATCTAGAAAATTTAATTGCGATATTAAAGCAAATGAGCTAAATGACTATCTAAGATGTTTAAACAATTTTAAATAAAAGAGATGTATGTGAAATTAATCCATATAAGAGGTGGATTTATTAATAATTTTAATAATACTGTTAGAAAAAATATAAAGTAAAAAGTGTAAAAAAATAAAAATAGAAAGATATATGCATTTCTATATGACAATTAATTTAAATACTATCAAACACATTTCATACATAAATGTTTTATCCTTTAGTCTGTAAGATTGAAAGTATACGTTAAATGTGTTTAATTAAATCGTTAACTGCAAAAAATACAAATATATACATATATAATTAATATATACATATAAATTAATTGAGAACTTATAAGATTAATATTTGAGCTGTTTTTATAACTTCACTTATAATTTTCACCACATATATAAATATGCTGTGTTGAAACATACATTATAAAAGAAATCTTTTGATTTTCAATTTCAATTGTTATGTTGTTTTAATAGTATCATGCACAATATTGTAATATAATTGCGCGTCATACACATCGACTAGCATTTGTTGTCTTCTCCGCTGGTCGTATATTATCGGCTTTGTATAATCGTCCATAATCGCTTATCGCTGCAGCGAGTCAGAGTATTTCGCAAATATCCGCAAAGATGCGTATACGCTCGCATATACACATCCACATGAATATACATATTTCATATATATATATATTTGGTCCATTGGCCGTTTCCGCCTCGTGCGACAAAGGTCGACCAGCAGTGTCGGTTTATTAGTTTCCAGCACCCCGATCGAAACACGTGCTGGATCGCTGGATGCAACTATTAAATGCAATCGCAATTCAATTAAAAGAGTTTGCATTCGTAATTAATTGCTAACTTTTGATCGATTCTAATTCTTGGTTAATTCTAATTTCAAATTAAAGATTAAGAGAGGAAGTCAGAAGAAGGAAATGAAAATATATATTATTAATTGTTCCTTTTTTTCATTGTTTCCTTTGTTGCTCTATTCTATCACATTTCTGAAGAATTTTTCATTCTCGCTTGAAGAGGAAAATTGGAAGAAGAAAATAGAAATACGAGTTGTTAATTGCTTCTCCTAGTATTTCCTCCATTGCTCTATTTTTCCAAGCTTTTACTCATGAAATTATATATTTAATACATTAGATTCGTACATGCAGCCCAATAGTATAAACAAGAGTTTCACATACCACGCTGTATATAAAAAATGTACACGTTCTTATCAAACATAGAGATTACACTTAAGCATGTCGTGAGACTCCCAACCTCGTTTTAATTTCTCCTCTGCTGAAACACAGGGTTAAACCTTCTATTCGGCCCTGCCGAGAAGCAGCCCCCACCCTGTGAAACAGCGTGAGTGTTCACACTGTTCATGCCGACAACCCCCACCGCCACCACCGCCGCCTCCGACCTCGAGATTACCGAGGAGCAGCCGCTGCTCTGAAGCAAACGACGCCGCACTCTACGGTCGGTCGTTGACGGATCCGGAGTGCTAGTTCACTTGCTCCGATCGGTGTGGTCGGCGTGAATTTATTCTCCTGTGAAATCACGACAGTGTCGTCGGTACGTACAGATCGGCCCGTCGTCGCGACGACGATTCTGCGTGAGATCGTCGATCTCGAGGAGGCCGATCGTTCGCGAATTGCAAAGACGAATATCGGCCGATTTTGCGAAATCGTTCGTGGGTGTGTGCGTGTGTGCGTGCATGGTGGAATGGCAGTGATCGTGCTAGCTATGTGTGCGAGTGTGTCGATCCGTGGGCGATCTTTCAAATGGCCAATCGGTCTTTGTAATAGCAAGAGTCCGAAGAATTCGGCAAGATGTGATCGCTGATGGTCGCTGGACCTCGATGGAGTCGCTCGAGGATGAGCGACATCGTCGTCGAATATAACTTCCGTGTTGATCATTTGACAAAACCAGCAAGTTGCAGTTCATTAATTTAGGAGACGGCCGCTTCATGCTGTGCGTCTTTGTACTGATCGTTCTTTCAAACCCGAGACCCAGCCTGGCATGATGAGGGTCTGCGTGGGCTCCTTTTTTATTCTCTCTTTCATCTCTCACATGCTTCTAAGATTTCGCATATTTCTGCTACGGCGCGATGGGATTTTCTCAGCGGTCTATTCTCCCTTCTTACACCGGCTGCGAAGGGAGGGGAAATGACTGATGACTTCTTCGTTCGAGGAAAATCAGCCGTTCACCCCATATGGCTCTAATTCATCTTCTTCCAAAGTCGCACCGTTACCATTTTTATAAACGAACAAATCGTCTATCCTTCCTATAGCGTTATCTTAAATCCTCAGTTACGTGTCTTCGCATGAATTCGGATTTTCTCCTTAATTTCATGGCTTGTTACATCGCATGCATTCGAACTACACGATGTAACGACATGATGACGTAGGTGCTGGCGTCACGTTCCGATTTTGCAACGCGATCAATCGACTTACGCGAGGGACAACGGCTGCCGGAACATGCCGGGTAGGACGTCGGTATATTTTCATGTTGCCTGGCGGCTCCTCTATGGGAGGAGAGAGACGTAAAGGGGTCGTGTGGATTTAGCGGGGGGTTCCACGGACACCATCGTGGTCGCCTGGCTAGATCCGAGCTCCGGATGGTAGCATGGCGCGCACCGTCGCGAGGGGTAGATTGAACCGCTCCGCACCCTGCGATCAATAAACTCGCCGAGAGGGAGCAGCCCCGTGACGAGCCGTTCAACTCCGCCACATTTTGTCCCCCCTCTCCCCCTACGCCACTTCATCCCCTCTCGCGCGTTCGCCATGCCCCTTCTGCGCCCTCCAGCCGGTTTGTTCCGTCGCGCGCGCTCTCCAACCGTAACCCTTGCTATCAACGATTCAGCACGTGCACTTCCACCCCGTTCCGCAGTGAGATAGCGCTTTCGCGCTTTACAGATTATCGCGGACCAGCGGGCCTGAAAGAGACTCCAGACTTTACAGAATTTTTCCTGCGACCCCTTAACCGCCCCGTTCTTCCGGGGTGTCATTGCGCGCGAGTCGGACGGCGGGGTTAGGTATCTCTCCTTATTCTTCAGGTTGGGCTCCGTATTTTCAGAATTCACCACGGAGAATGAATTCCGCGGCCGAAACTCGCGCGTCAAACACACAGTCGTGGAGTCGTGGAGTATATATTGCGTTGCGCAGCGGTTGGAAGAGAACTGGTTATTTGAACTTTGATTTTCTCAGCCTGCGAAAGAATTACGGTCGGGGCTGTCAATTAGGGCTAACAGAGAATCAGTGATACAATTTATTGTCATCCTTGTCCATTGTATGCATTAATAAACCTCTCTTTCCGCGATACTGCTTCATTAATTATGCTCGATAAGTCGCGTCTGACGCTTTATTCATACAAACACGTAAATTTATTGTTATTATGCTCTATATATTATAAATTGATTAAATATACTTTGCTAGAACATTTTTACGTGAAATTCACCTAACGGTTCATTTAATGATACTCTAATTAACATTTGGAGTCTCCCTCACACCGAGCTGTTATCGCGAATAATTATGTTCAACGTAACAATTGTATTTTCATCAATATGCATCGGATGCACGAGAAGTTTAGACGTTAATTTTAACAATATGATTCATGATTAACATTAATTTTAACAATACGTGTTGTCTCATAATTATCTTTCATCTCAAATTTACTGATACACGCATGAAACGCATTTGTTCGCTCCCGTGACAATGAGAAGATCGTCAAATAACGATTAGTTAGCTCCAAAGTGCGAATTTTCATTGTGTTGCTCCACAGAGGAATATTCGTCTTCTGTAAGCACGAAGGCCGAGCGATTACACGCGCCTTGAAAGAAATTAGCCTACGTGAGTTCTTGAATGCATGCTAAACTACTACACACACAGACGTAATACGTTTAAAGTGATTGTTACGCGCCTCCGACGACTAGCAACCGACCGACCTTGAACTTAACTGAAGTCCTTTCGCGCTCATCATCTGCCGAAATAAGGAACGTGCTTGATTCAATCATTAAATGTCGACAATCTCCTGGAGCATTTTTTCTATGACTACCATCGAGATACTATCGAGGCGGACCATCAGCGATCGCATTACATTAACCGGCTTGTCGTTCATCGGTGTGCTTTATGTGACATCAGGTGAAAATCAGTGCGCTCAGAGAAGTCGGGATCAGGATGTGGCGAGAACCACCAGGAGGTGGGTGCAAGAAATCCACCCACATTACCGCGATGTTCCTCTTGGCTGCTGTCTTGGCATTGGCAAACGGTGAGTCAATTTCAAACGAAACGATCCCATTCACGCGTTTCTCAGCGTGACGAAGACGGTAATTACAAAGAATCGCTGATGGGTGTCGGTCACATGCAATTTACATCAAATACCGAAAGAAATATACAACATAGACACATGTCACGACTTTTAAGCGCTAAATGCCGGCGAATATGTCATACATTTTGTGGCAATAGAATACTAACGCATATAATTATTATATTAATGCATAATATAATGGTAACTAATGTAAAACTAATGTAAAATACATTGATAAGATGATGTCATCATTTGCGATATCTTTAATGATTCATTTTGCACTTTTAAGTCAAATTTAATTCTTTCCATAACAATTCGTACTATGTGACTGCATAACTATGTAAAAAAATTGTTTTTCCTTTTTATTGTATCAGATTCTTTTTATACGTTATACTATTCTCATCTTCAAAATATTTTTGTATTTTGAAAAACTCGCAGAAATGACATGTTCAAACGTATCAAACTGTGTCTAACGTATCAAACTGCGAAATTTATCATCTGACGTAAAAGTTTCTTCTCGTGGTACGCGTGCTTCGAATGTGCAAGGTGTTCACTTGAAAAGTTTCCACTTTAATGTCTTCAAAAATATATTGTACGGAAAAATGTTGAATATAAAAGATGTAAGGCTTGTAAGAGATACATGATGGTAACTGTAAAAACTACGTGAGCGGCGATTTTCAAGGTCATTTCAAAGTTAACTTTCTTTAGTGGGAAAGTGAAAGAGAAAAGTTTTTTATTACGGAATTAGAAAAAGTAGATAATTTTCTGTTCAAAACTTTTTGTAATTTACATATTAAAATTTTTTTTCACTGGAAAGATATTGGAAACAGTTAAAACACATTATATAATAAATAACTTTTTTTTTCAAATCGTTGCATTCTAAAAAATTTCTCGAAGAATCGATCTACAAGGAATTGACCAAAGCGGAAAATTTTCACGGTCAACGATCGATTCGAGGATTCAAGGACCAATGTCCTAGTAGGTGGAGCGACAGACATTAATCTATTGAGTGACCATCAAAGTCCTTTGATTTGCTGCCGTTAGATTTTTCTCGTGAGGACATTTGAAATTTATTGTTTACAAGACTTCATTGAATGATATTTAAGATTTAAAAAATAGATTGAAAATAACTGACGTTTATAAATTGCTACCTCGTAAGATTTTTCAGAATGCAAGATAATAAAGTAAAAGCAAAATTTATTTTTGTATGGATAAATTGAACGAACATATATCTTAAAAACGATATTTGAGTGTAAAACAAATTGTAATCGTTCTTCATTCCTTCTTTTTTCTCTTTCATAAACATATACATATATACATATAGATGCGTGCGCGCATGCACAAGTACAAGACATTTATATATATTTTAACCTTTCCTAATATTTTCTTAATATAAAATGAGATATTTAAAAAAGTAAGTATCAAAGAGTTTTGGACACAAAATCTGCTTTCTTGAATTCCACAGTGTGAAAAATATCTTTTTCCGTTTAAGAAAAAATTGATCTTGAAATGACCTTAAGAGCCGCCACTCATATAGTTTTTAAGATTACTGTTATGCATTTCCCTCGAAATTCTCCAACTTTTACATTCAGCATTTTTTTATACAACACATATTTCATAAAATATTGAGGAAAATATTGACGCTAATTTTTCAAATTAGCATCTTATTTATGACATATGCATGTTAGATATTCTCAAGGTTTCTCGATTATCATTAATAATGTTGAATGAGTTCTATAGACAACAGAAAATTTCCATCGAAACACGTGATGGAAATTCTGTGAATTAGAAATAATAAATTTCCATTATGAAACATGCAAACGGCAGTCGCGCAAGTATTTTGCGAAGTATTGGAGCAAACAGAAATTAATCAACAAAAAACAAAGGATAACCAATAGGAGATAACACATATCTGTAATAATTTGCGCAACCAATCAATAAAATGAAGTTAAAACATGAGAAATCGTTATTCTTCAAAATCAAAGTGATTTTTCTCTCGTTTGACGTTAAGACACGTATTATGTGAAGTGAAATAAAAATTTGCTTAAAAATTACATAAATTGCTTCCTACATCGTTACCAAATATCACCGTTTAACATCGTTTATCGACTCCGATGTAACAATTGTTTTTTTTTTCGAGTATAACTATAACAACATGGCAGATTCGGAAATGTACATTCTTTCTTTTTCGATCTGTCTTTTGTTACCGGCCATAATGCGGTTCACGTTGCCGCTTTTGTCAGCGTGACCCCGTGTACGCGCATTTTGAATCGAACGAGCAGTCAGTTGGCACCACGAAAGATCTCGAGTATAGGTGCTGGTGGATCACGAAGCGCAGCTGCCGCAGGAAAGAGTAAGATGAAGGGGGCGAGGAGATCGAGGGAAGGGAACAGCTGCTGTTCCCAGAATGCAGGCTCACATGGCTTCGGAGAGAATTGCACTTGGCCGCGGAGGCTGCTACCAGGTGAATCCGCTTGCCCGTAGGTACAGGCGCCTGCGCGCGGCTCCACCTGGGAAAAGTTTAGGGAGCTACGAGAGATATTTGGATGTTCGTCGAGGGAATATACTCACGTATATATATATATATATATATATATATATATTCACGAGCTTTGATTTTCAAACGGCGGATAGAAATTGCAAAATGATTACAGAGAATTATTATGATGATCACATCGATTACGGAAGACTACATTTATGACAAATTGAGTGCGTTATTGCTGGAGCTGGAAGAAACGATGTATGAACACCGAAACACACGGTATTTCGGTGGAGGATCTACCATGGGAGATCTCAGAAATAGATGCGGTCGAAGTCGAAGAAGCCATATAAGCTCCGAAAGTCTGAGACTTAAAAATTTCTCTCTCTCTCTCTCTCTCTTTCTCTACTTACGCGAGGATTGTGTACTTACCCTTGCGGTTGCTGATATATAATGCGTCGTTCACAAAGCACAACTATTTGACGTGGGAGAGAGGGCATTCTGTAATGCTTTTAGAGACGCCGGTGCGATGTCATGTTTGGAACGTCTTAGAAAATAATTAGATGATCGAGAGTAAAGATTTCGCCATTTATTCAAATAGTAAAAAGCTGATTATATATTGCAATATACATTCACTGCGGTGTTGCACGATATCTCACAGCTCTCGTGATGGTAAATTATCGTAATTTTAAAAAAATATACACACACCGATAGTGTTTACTGGAGCCTGGCAGACGTTTCCAGGATGAAGATTTGATTTCGAACGAATAAAGAATCCCGAAACAATAGCTCCATCGGAAGACCGCTTAATCGACTCGCACGATTGTTCTTCGACGATGTCGCCGCGCCGCTTTATAGTTTCGAGATATATTTCCCATTATAATGCGCGTCACGGTGTCTTACGTTCCGACACACACAGACGAGCTGGCGTGAATACACACGAACACACACGTGAATCGCACGTGCGGCGACACGTGTGCGCATGTGTGCGCCCTGGAAATATATTCGATGCAGCGTGTCCGGACGTTTCAAAGCTTCCCCTCTATATATAGATTACGGAGCGGTTGTCGACCGGGAAGAATCTCGCCTTTCATCGGGAAGGCGTGAGAGTTTAATCTCGGAAAAAATTTTTACGACTTACTTTTGTGCGACCGATACCTACGGCGGCTCTTACAACGTATTACATCTGTCATGCAGCTCCGACAATACTTCGTGCCATTATTTCACGGCGCACGTGCCGGAGAGCGTATAAATGACACGATTCTCAGACGCGAACGTGTGATCATCGCTGAAGCAGCTTGTACAATGTCAGTTTTAATCGACCAGTTAATCACCATAATGCCCATATGTTAGTTTAATCCTTCTGGCTTTCTTGCCGCAGTGTTCGACGACGCTGCAGTGCAGCCTGAAAGAATCGTCGGGATGTGTTTGACAGCGGGAAATTTTAACACACTCGTTACCTCAACATATATTTCAAACGTGAAAAGCATACTCACAACTATCGGTAACAGACCTGTAAAACGTCGAAACACATCATCCAAGTGACAAAGTTCGAAAGAGCAGCTTACAGACCTCGCACTTTGAAGATTCTTCTTCTCTTGTACGTTCGAGTGGATGCGATTAGCTGCATTCGAGGACGATTTTTGTCACAACCGGCAAAGGACAGGTGTAGCTTGCACGAAATGGATCATGGGGAAACGTATAAGACGTAAGATAACGATGACAGACAGTAAAGCTGCGGGTATGCCAGTTAAAGTTCAAATAACAGACGTTGCGGCGAGTACGAAAAATTCGGAACACCTGTTCCTTATACCTGCGTGTACATCCCACCGTCCGTTTCAACGGCGCACGCTTCGCCCAACCGGTTCTTCGTGACTTGATTTTATACTGCAGCACGTTTATTTGCTCTCACTTCAGCGTAGTCATCGTCGTCGTCGTCGTCGTCGTCCTCGTCGTACGTAGGTGAATCAGTAGGTGGCTACGTGCGAAGAAAGTAGCACGGTAGACTCCTGTATAGACCCCGAACGTCCTCCACGACGACGAACGACTTGTACTCCTAAACATTCGCGTCATGCTAACATTACGAACAGTCGCAGTCAATTATTTAGACAGATGAGTGAGCGAGGGTCATGAAAGTACTCACTCAGCTTCCGACGAGTTCCCTGGAGAATGAGTTATCAATTATAAATGCGTCGACATAACGTTTCACTGTTTTTGCAATATTTCCCAGTTGAAAATGAAAACGTCCAGTTGGAAAAAAAATTAAATATAAATAATTTTATCGGAGATTATCTATAGCGGTGCATGATATTTTTGAAGGATTATGTTATCCTCAGCACTTGTGGGGAAAATATGAAACGTCTGATTTGTGCATGTAAACTTGCGATTAATGGTGCACAGACTATACGATGAAATGGAATGCCGGCGGGAATATTTTTTGCTATCGATGGCACTGGCAGTGAAGCGAAGAATACAACTCGGACACGACGGAAAAGGAATCACGCATTGTCGTCTCCCTTATGGTCATGTGACGTTGATCGCATATTATTCAATAACAGGCCGACAACCTGTTGTTTGCTGCAATTGGCAACGCGCCAATTGAATGTGGGTGTCACATATCCTGGTTGAAACGGATGATAAGAGAAACTCGAAGGCACAAGATAAAGGTCTCGTGACACTTTAAATTAATTGGCTTCGCGCTAATGTTCCCACAAGTTATCAAGGCCTCTTTACGTTTCGTTCTGTCCTCGGTAGATTCTTTTGTCTTCCTTCGTAGCTAAAACGTTTCCGGACTAAAATATATCGTATCTATAAAAAATTACTCAAAGCCGCGGCATGTTATCTATTGTCTTAAGAGAAAAAGGAATATCGAAAGGATCGTACATTTTGAAAGCGATGCAAGTGCATATTAGTAATAAATATTACTAAGCAATTGGCAAACAGTAAAATTTCCATAATATAGGATTGCGCCGTCGGTAGGAGTCACACTCTCACGAAATAATAATGAAAACGATATATCGGAATTTTATTCTGTAATCAATAACATAAAGGCATACACAAAGGAAGAAGAAAACTCACTACCTCTCGACTCGCTGCGTTCAACTTTTCGAATATCAAAGTCGAAACCTAAAAGTCATTATTGACTTGTTGTCTTCTCTCCTTTAATGTCGTCGCGGCTGATTTTTAATTTGTCTTCCCTTCTGTTATTTTCTCGTCAGCATTGTTAGCGATATCGAAAAAAAAACATCCGGTATATACGATTCGTTCTTTATCCTTAGCAACTAATGCCCACGGACACTCCTCAATCTTGTGATCATCCAGCCAGAAACATGTGATGAACTTTGTCGATAGTTCGGTATTGTCGGTATTTTGACGATTTGTATTTCTTCGGAACGCCTAACGATCGGACTAAATGTTTTTATATCGCGCGGGAGACGCCAGCGATAGATCATGAGCGATATACATGTTTGCTTGTGTCTACCTAAAATACAGTTGAGCCTAGCGGGTCCCCTTGGCACATATTTGCTTTGTAATCAAAGGATAAACATATCACGACAAGGGAATAATATTACATCAAATATTTTACAATATCAACCGATCCTGCAGTAATATTTGAATACCACAGATTTCATCCTCAAGATAAATTCGAATAATTCGCACAAACGCTCGTTATGGTCACCACAAACCTTTGATTTCTGCTTGCAGTTGTTGTGGCTGAAGATGAATCAATGGGACCGGTATTTGTGAAGGAACCACCAAACCGAGTCGATTTCTCAAACGGAACCGGAGCTGTCGTTGAATGCCAGGCGAGAGGAAATCCTCAACCGGATATCATTTGGGTTCGTGCTGACGGAACTGCTGTAGGAGATGTTCCCGGATTGAGACAGGTGTTACATTACGTTTCCTTTTTCCTTTTTCTCTCGTCCGGATTTCACTTTATATACGATTATTACATTTTTTTTATTACTTTATTACTTTATTATTACCTTACGATCGAAGCTGAAATTTGCTTAAAATACGATACTTCACTCGCACAAAGATAATACCCGCTACACATATTTCTGATGATATTTATATAAATATTTATATAAATATTTTATTAGTTTTAATGTGAAAGAAATTTTCAAAGGAAGACTTACATCTTTTCTTCTTACGTTGATTGAAAATAAATTCTTTTCACGCGCAAGCAGTTCCTTTAGATGGTTGTCGTCTATCAGCCGTTCTACTGTCTGCGAATGCCTTTTTTGCGACATGTGAATGGAATCATTAATCGCCCATGCATCCTACGTTCATTCACGCAATCGTGAAGGACGCGTTAATTATTTGCAAGCTTGCTGCGCATGTGCGCAAGTGATCGCGTGAAGTCAGTTTCTTACATGCTCTTGTTTGCAGGTTCTACCGAATGGAAATTTGGTGTTCCCTCCTTTCCGCGCTGAGGATTACCGTCAGGAAGTTCACGCTCAGGTCTACAGCTGCTTGGCACGTTCCCCTGCAGGTTCGGTACACAGCCGTGATGTCAACGTGAGAGCCGGTAAGTGTCGAACGTGGAATTCGCCATTTGTCGTTTAGCCATCTGTACTATTTGATCAAGAATCGGTAAACTTAATTCTAACTTTAGTAAATATTTTTTGATGATACGAGGGCAGTCTGAAAAGTTCTCGGCCTGACACATAGATGGCATTAGAAACTGTCAAACTATAATTGTATTGGAAAGTGGCATCCCTGATATAAATGTAAAATTTTATTTCGATCTGCCAAGTCATTCGAGTAGTAGCACCAGTTTAATATTGACGTGTCATTGTCTTTTTTAAAATGGAAAAAATTGAATATCGTGCAGTGATTAAATTCTTTGTTTTGGATGGTTTAACACCAACAGAAATTCATTCGAAATTGTTAAAAGTGTATAAGGTATATTACGTGATAATTTATATATATATATATATATGCGCGTTTAAATGTTAGAATTATATTTTAGTGCAGAATGTCAGATGGCTAAACATAGGACAATCTAAAAGTTATTTTTTTCAGCTGTGGATAATCGTAGCACGTTTGTTCGTGCGATTCGTTTCTGCTATATTCATCTGGCACCTCAGTTCGGAAGAACTGAGTCCGATGAAACTTGAATCCGATAAAAGACATCGGTGTCAATCAGGCAATATAAAAAAATTGGACGATTAGACTTATCTGATTAGACTTGTTTGATTACATCAACACTTGTTCTTTAACAATTTGTAATCTCTGCCGCCGCCGTTTATGCGAACATATCTACGATTCGTTCTCCAGTCTCAATCCGCTCGCAAGTTATCAGGACGTGAGTCTTTACGCGATGTAATCTTATTTTTACGTGATGTCATCGTATTTTATGCAGGATTAACAGTGTTTCTGAATAACGCAGTGATATCATTAGGTTTGACGTCACCTCGTTTTATCGACCGCACAGCTTCCGGCAACATCTCTCTATATCCCGTTCATCAAAGACAAAAATATTTATCTACAGATATTTGTTATTGAATCTTTTTTAGATATGTATTATACAATTATTCAGCAAATTTTATATATATTAAATGTTAACAAAATTTCCATTTAACTCTGTATTGGCATAATTTTTTATTTTTTATTAAAAATCAATGTTGAAGAAAACTTTAGGAAAATTTTGCTCCATAGAAAAACGTAGGTTTATCATAAAAAAGAGAAAACATTCAAGATATTCTTGGAGCTATCGAGACTGGAGTAGAATGATGCTCGATACACTATGGATGTTATCTTGTGTGTACTAAATTATAGTGGTGGCGCAGTATTACGACACCGACGTCAATAAAGAATACGCAATTCGTGGGAACAGTGCCATTTTGAAGTGTGTCGTTCCTTCTTTCGTCGCTGATTTCGTCAAAGTCCTGTCCTGGCACACGGATCAAGGAGAGGAATTCGTACCTGGCGATGATTTCGGTATTCCTCGAGGCATTCGACTAGATAAACAGAAGGAGTTCCTTGCTTCTTTCCGAGCAGAAAATTCCGTTGTTGCATCTTCGCCGTGCAATGATCCACATCGGCATGAACATGAACAGCAGATGTCACTTTATTGTAATTTTGCCAAAGTTTAGCGGGTCTCCAAAATTCCAAGGATTCATAGTAACTTAAAATTTGAGAATTGATACAGCCATGTTTTATATAGAAATGTCCTTTTAAAAGACAATATAATAAAATTCATCTCTCATTTCGGAATTTCGCCGATGAAATTTTTATCGACGTTACTTCTCAATTGATTTGTGCTCTGTACAGAGATAATTGAGACGTAATACCGTTATCGCTCCAAGCGTTCGTTCCAATTCACGGTGCCAAATGCACGGTGTTGTTCGGTCGAGGAACTGACACCGTCCGTGCGACCCGGCCGCTTCTCGTATATTGATCTCAATTGCCGCTGTGGCGAAATGCAAATCCATTTGGACCGGAGCAACGCGAAAGTATATGGGTCGCTCACTTTCCTCTTCCACGGTCGGCACGTATATGTGTACGCGCGCATCGTCATTCGTCTCGTTAACGTCGCTCCCAACTCGTCATATTTGCCGTGCTGGCCAAAACGATCGGATAGTTGACGCGCTTGTCTCTCTCTCTCTCTCTCTCTCTCTCTCTCTCTCTCTCTCTCTCTCTCTCTCGGTTTTCTGTTAAACCACACGTTTATACGATACTCGCTTCCGACGCGTCGCCCGTATATTTTAAACGTGTCGATTCGTTCAGGCTTTACTTCCGGTCTGCTTCCTCTTGTTTCTCTACTCGGGAGGTACAAATAGTAATGATAACTAATCATAACGATAGCAATGAGAACAATAATCGTATAATAAGTCGTAGAGTATTTTTATGTTTTAAATTAATTTCATTTGCTGTAACTTGTTTCGTGCTTTAATTATTTGATATTTTACGAAGATTGTTCGAATGTGTCATTTCGATTCAAACTGCGCAAGGTGATTTTCCGCATTACGATTACGTATGATTTTGTATAATTTAATAAGAACAAAATAAATTTCATCGTATCGCTCAAGATTTTCTCGGAACGTTGTACAACATACCCAATTTACAGACGCACATACGCGCTCACACATACACGCATATATTCAGGTTGAACGTCAATCGATCGTGCCGTCATGCTTTCATGCTATCATGACGCCCGCTCATCGGCGACTGCGACGTAAGATGCGACAATGTGAATTATTCTGCTTCCGAGACAATGGCGAAATGGATCGCCCAAAGTTGCCGTCAACGTCGTCGAGGTTTCATCAGGCTTAAACGCGAATTAATTTCGTAGGTCACATCGACTGACGCTTGATAAAATCCCTCGATAAAGACTCAGCGCAAATTGTGATATTAATTACGTACTCTCTCAAGAGTGTATTTTCGCGTCGAAAAGAATTAAAATTTCGAGACGAGCAGGTCGAGATAGAGACATGAGATGAAATGCGATTCGCCGCAATTATCCCGATAAATGAATCGCCAGTCGTTTAAAAGTCAAACGGTATGAATGGACGACTTGTTGTGCTTAATGGGAAACGAGTTCGCGCGGGTTACTCGGTCCGATTTATTGCAGTGGTGCACCAATATTATCAGTCGGAAGTCAACAACGAGTACGTGATTCGCGGTAACGCGGCCATTCTCAAGTGCAGCATACCGAGCTTCGTCGCGGAGTTCGTTCAGGTCGTTGGCTGGCAGGATGACCAAGGAAATTCTTTTGATCCCGACCAGGGCAACGGTACAGATCGAAACCTGCGGGAAAATTTGCAAGTCGGAACACGCGCGGGCAGCGGATGATAATAACTAGTCAACGTCGTCGATCTCGCATTCTGCGTGATGCGTTTCTCCTCGTCTAACTGTACCACATGTACCGTGGATTTTGCATAAATATTTCGCGTTTAATCTGATCAAAACCCTTCAAGTGTATCCTTCTAGAAGCCTGTTGAACCTGTATTATTGCCTACGTTATTGTCTTTCCTGTATCGTTTTATTGAAATAGCTCTGGAGGCGCTTCAAGCGTATTGAAATAGCCTTGCTTAACGAAACAATGTAATTACTGTTATCTCTTATGTAATTCGTATTTCGCGAGACATTGTACCAGCCAATTGAGAACCAGTTTTCGTAATCACACGGTGTAGCACAGGATCAAATCATGTGTAATGTTATGCGCTGAGGCAGCAGCTGCTTGCGATCACTTGGAAATCGCCTAATCGACTAATTTACTCCGGAGAAATATACCTCACTTTTCCGGCGCGATCAAGTCAACTTACATAACGGAATGTAGGATTGTGTTCAGCACACGGAGATAGAAATTGTTCGAACGTTTCATCTCTTAAGCCTGATCTACAATATGTTCCTGCTTTCTGTTCTCTATATTTTTTATCTTTTTCTATCTTGAGACATAAGGTCTGAGTCAAAAAGAGATAGAGAGAAAGAAACAGAAAGCACAAAGAGTACATTGAGTAGATGAGGCTCCAATTTCGATTGCACGAAATAACAACTTTTCTCGCGATCACAGTTTGATATGATTTAACGTAATCTGATAAGAACAACGTAACTTTGATCGTTGCGTCCAACACACGAGTTTCGGAGTGATCCGCGCGTCGAAGGGAATCTTGCCGAGTTCTCAGCCGGGAAAGTTGATTCTCCTCGCGGTTAAACACGCGGAAATAATGCGGAGGAGTCGAGGGGAGGGGGGAGTGGTGCGCGTGAGATGTGATGTAGTTAGACAATGCGCCATTATAATACTCCATTATCTTTCGCAGTCGTGACTCAGTATTACGAGGCGGAAGTTGTATCGGAATACGTGATACGCGGCAATGCAGCTATCTTGAAGTGCACCATACCGAGCTTTGTTGCCGAATTCGTGTCGGTGGAATCGTGGGTAGGAAGCGACGGCTCGACCTTCAGACCGTCTACTGATTATGGTACATACGCACGTGTTCCTGTTCATTCAGCGTACTTGTTCTCCTATCGTTCGCCTTTCAGAGGGGAACTCATTCCCGGGTGATACGCCGGCCAGAAGATTTCATATTGCTCTTTCACTTCGCTCGCGCTTTCGCATCTTTCGTTTTTCCTCTTTCGTTCATTCAGCTCCGGGCAAGTTGACGCTGTCACTGTTTTAATCATTTGAGCAAGCTGACACTGTTAGTTTTACCATTATTAGCTTTACTGTTTCAATGGAAGGTACAGGAGTTTGTCGCTGCATTATTATAATTAAAATGTATGAGCGACCATGCGGTTGTATTTAGTTTATGATCAAGTCGATCTGAATATTTTTAGACAAGCGGAGAAGTGCGTATTATTTGCGTTTATTTTATATTTTACAAGAATTTTTCTAATAAAGAAACTCTCTTGGAGCAGGAAATTTTCATAATAAAAGCATTCTTATTATGAATTTTTATAACGAGAATTTTCATACTTAGTACCCGAAACTTTCTGTAACATTTTTCTTATGGCACACATAGTCTTCTCTGATAAGAAAATTACATGCTTTTGAAATACATTTTCTTCTATATTTACATTTACGCTTCTTTCATATCACGTCTTCTCACGTCCCTGTAAAGTGATGATTAAAGCCGTCAATCAGGCAAGATAAATTATTACTTATTTGTTTCGAGACAAGTTTTACCTCTCACATACGTGCGAGAAGTTTAACGCACATCTACCCCCTTATATCCAAGTAGGATTGATTACTTGGGCACACTTTGGCTGATTTTCAATACGGAAACTGCACATTTGACTACTGATGAACGCGTTGGCCGATAAGTACACACGATGAGTATACAGGGCGAGGAAATTCTCTTTCCGGTCGTATCACCCTCTGTCTCCCTGCTGTTCGGACACCCCCCTGTCCCCTCGCGTCCAACTTTGTCGAAGTTCAAAGTGGCACGTGGTAACGATTCGTTTCCGCCGGCCACGCGATCTGGTCTGGATGGCGGCTGAACGGCGGCGGCAGTACATACATACGCGAGGGTTAATGAACCATCCGGTGGTTCTCACGTCGCGAATTATGGCGGATCTAAGAAAATAAGCCGCGCGTCCATGACGAAACATGGAGAATGTTGGGCAACTTGGCCAAAGTTGCTCGGGAAAATTCCAGAGCGGAAACTCCGTCACTCTCGTAATCCCGTATAAGCTCGTAATCTCTAATGACCGTATTTTGACGGATTTAGAATGCATCGATGTAATAAGAGCGAGACGCCCAAAAGTGCGATACATCTCGTTAAATTTTAGTCAGTAACAATAAATTTGTGAAGCCTGGAGGGAGGGAAAGAAAATTTGCGAGACGCTAGAATGCGGAGGATCGCAAAGCGCTTCCTATGGGGTTTTTCTAAAAGTACTCTTGATTTATTTAGCAGCGCAATGTCTTTAAACAGTTTGGACTTTCTCAGAACGCTTGTGTTCACAGCCAAGCAATGGATAAAGCGTCTAATTTTACATTTCTGCTTAGTGATTCATTCACTTGAGGCACAAGTGGCTCTTCTACATCTACAAGTATAATAATATGACAAATTCAGGGATGAGAAACGTGAATGTCTCGTTTTGCTTACATGTACTGTATAGATTACTTTTCAACGAAACGATGCAATGTTTCTTCATTTGTAATTGAGCATTTTCTTTATTTTAATCTTATTCCTCCCGCATAGTCGTCACTCAGCCTTACAATCCAGAAATCTTGACCGAATACGTAATAAGAGGAAACAGCGCGATCTTAAAATGCAGCATTCCCAGCTATATCGCAGAATTCGTTACTGTCGAGGCGTGGATTCGCGAAGACGAAGAGGTCTACCTGCCGGAAGATCCTGCTGTCGGGCAGGGTACTATTTTGGTCGTCCTCAATTATTTTATAAATGTCCAACGGAAGATTTATACGAACTAGGATGGCTAAAATATTTTAGCTTCTTACAGTAAACGCTATTCCGCTAAAAGAAATATCGAAAGCAAATCTTTGAAGCGTCTAATAGTATGGTGCAGAGCTTGAGAAAAAGTTAATTTTGAAAATAAAAGAAATGAAATTTAAGCTATAATTCCCTCAAAAGATTTCTCGAAAATATGGTTTATCTAATCGTTGAACTAATTCTCGATTATTTCTTTCCATCCTAATTCTACGAGAATCTTCTGTGGTAGGCTTGTCTGTTGTGTTTATTAATCTCATTAACAGAAATAACATGTCCATGTATACACTCCGTCACTGTCACGAGAATCTTGTAATCTATTCTTTTTAATTCTTTGACAGCATATATACTTTTGCAGATTCTATGCTCGTCAAAAGAAAAACACGGTGGTTGACATTACTCGAGACATCAGCGATAATTGAGCAAACGAAAACACATTTTTTTCATTTCTGATTGGTTTTTTTGATTTAACGTTACTCGACGAGAGAGGTCTAGACGGATCGCCGAATGTTTGGAGAGACGACAGACGGTGCGTGATTTTTCAAATCACGTTTCAAAGAGTTAACACATTGCCCGCGCCGGTAGTTGTTTCACAGTTCTACGTCACCGAGGCCGAGAACGAATACGTGATCCGAGCTAACAGCGCGATCATGAAATGCAAAATACCGAGCTTCGTGTCTGAGTTCGTCCTCGTGGATCAGTGGGTGGCCGACGACGGGACAATTTACACGGCCGGCCAGGAGTACGGTATGACGCCGGTCGATGCCGATGTAGTTTACGTGGTTGTCCGCGGGAAAACTTTTGTTCTCTTCTTTCCCCGCATTCTCATTTCCCTCCCTCAAACGAGCGCTCACACTTTCTTCTCGCTCGTCTCTCGGCAACTGTCGGCTGCAGCTTGCACGGTCGTCACGGAGTTCCAACTTTTACTTTCGAATCTGTTTTAAATCTGATGCAATTCTGTACGGAGGGCGAGAAAAATCTGTACTTAAGTATTACGTACGCGTTCACGAGAAATACATGTCCAACAAGTCGATATTGCACAAGCGATATTAAAATAAATCTGAAGACGTTGAATGATTTCAATATCGATGTAAACTTGGCGTTGAACTTGTATAAGAAAGAATGTCGCATATAATTTGGTTATTTGCTTTTTTCTCTATTTTTCAAATAATAAAAATCCAAGAGAGTTAAACAATAATTATTTACAATTATTTATAACTACCGCATCAGTTACAATCATTGCATTTAGTTCTTTTGAAGATGTCAAGATGTCTTTTTAATTTCTTTTATTCATATATCCTTATTTTAAGCACTTTTGTAGATTGTTTCGATTAAAATCGATAAAAGTTTATTTCCAACAACGGTTAAGATTTTATTTTATCTGGTGGTCCTAAACAAAAGTAAATATGCAGTTATATATTTTAGATGTCTATTCTTCAATTAGCATTAATAAAATTTAGGCGAGGGTTTTAACACCCGCATGTCTTCTTTTTTATCTCATTGGAGAGCTGTCGTTTCCGAAAGTAGTTGATTTAATACAAGTAAATTGTTTCTATGATTACACATAATTTATGTACATAATTAAATAATGTATTATTTAATTTATTTGATATAAATATATATTATTTATTTAGTAAATACTTATACACTGATTTATCTCTGACGACTTTCACTTTGACGTATGTTGACAATATTATATTAGTTGTCATGTTTCTGCGCAACATGCAAAAGTTCAGCAGTCACTCATTTTATTAAAAATTTATTAAAAGTTTATTAAAAAGTTGCCAGTAAAAGAAATTTTATAAATAGGACCTTATATTATATATCTTTAACATCACATAGATTCCTCGAGTGAGGAATATAAACACGTATATTAATAGTACAAAAAAATGTAAATAAGGGTAGATAAATAAATGTAAGTATAGGTTAGGTTAGGTTAGAAATCGATATTTTTTTTAAGAGGAGGTGCACGAGGAAGAGCTTCGCCGCGTATATACACATGAAGCAAATACGTGCCAAGTTTTTCTACTAAACAATGTAGATAATAATCTATTTATTCACTTTCATGAATTCTATAGCTTGTTAGTGGATAGTTTAGACATGGTTGTGTGACAAACTGATCCTCTCAGAGTGATTATAAAGAGGTTAAAACATAATCTTGCTATGCAATAATCATAATGTTTCTCCCTAGTTCCGTATCAAGACATTCTATCCCGCATATCTCGTCATAAATGTTTAATATTTTGTATATATGTAATATATGCGTATCAGTTGTTGGTTTTACAAAGTTCTCTGAGTGATTTTCTACAGTAAGTCAATGTACAAATTTATTATTTGTATATACATGTTGTTCAAAAATTACGTATATTTTATGTACATTTTTTTTTAATAACTTTTTAACGAACAATGAATGACGACGACAATAAACATTGAAACTTTTAGCATGTTATTCAGAGACATAATCTTGAAAACATACACCAAAGTGAATTTTATTCGAAAGAGGTCAGTTAAGCTAAATATTTACCAAATATATTTAATCATCCTTATCAGGATTTATCCGTTCCTCTATACTGCTACCCTCAGTTGTTTGACTGAGTTTAACTTGTTATTTCAAGAAAGTAAAGTTTAAATAATAAAATCTGACCAGGATTCTGCCTTGTTTTCAGTTCTTGCCAGAAATTCTTCTACTGACAATCAAATACATTTATTTCAAATCTTTTTTACTCTCCGAAGTAAAAGAGATTTTCTTTCAATCTTTTGCAAATTTTCTTTCCTTCGAGTACGATGTCAAGTTCACATCGATAGTCTCTAACGTCTCTAACGGAAAAATATGATAGCTACGTGCAGTTTCGATTTGCCTGTCGGTTCAGTTTGAATAGCACCCACGGTAGACAATTTCCAAACTCGGTGTGACGAGTCATGATCTCTTCTGGGAAATCGCGCATTGCAGTGGTGCAGCAATTCTACGAGACGAGGGTCATCGATGAGTTCGTCTTACGCGGAAATACGGCTACCCTGAAGTGCCTCGTGCCTAGCTTTGTGGCGGATTTTGTAGAAGTTATTGAATGGCAAGCTGAGGATGGATCCATGTATAGCGCAAATGACCAGCAGGAGAAGGGTATTTAGCGTTTACATTGATTGTGCACAAGATCGACGATTGACGAAATAACATTGCTGTTTGCTTTCGCCGTCTAATATCACTTTCCGCGATTCAAAGTTAACTGCCGAAGTGAAAACGGCTTTTTTCAATTGATTCTTTTTCTGAATGGGATGTCCTTTTTATCTACGACCGACTTAAGGTTTCTTGTTTCAAAGGCGTTTTAAGGCTCACAAAGGCACTCACCTTTGTGATAACCTTGCAAATTAAATTACGACGTTCCAGATGGGTAAAGACGGTGCATATTCTTGACACAGAGACTCGCGGTTTTCTTCAGTACGGGGGACGAATATCCTCAGGGTAGTGGAAAGGTGGGTTTGGGGTTGATGGAGCGGAATGCGAATTTTGCCTGGAAAGTTTGCCCTTTCCGATTCAACGATCGGCAAGGGTGAATACAGGCAGAACATGCGGCTGGCAGTGGCCTCGTTCGATGTGAACCTCGGATTAGGTTAAGCCGGATTAATCGGCCTGAGAGCGAATTAACGCCCGCGCGACCAGCCTGATCCACTTTCAATAAAGAGAGGATCGTTAAGGGGGGCTATTCCCGGCGACGTAATCGAATTTACTTTACGGCCTCTGCGGTCGGCAGTCGAAGACATCGCGATATTAATTAATGAGGTGAAGGCTTACCGAGCCTGCGCTGAAATGTTGAATTTGCGTATTCGTCTTTTGTTCCGTCACGCTTTCGTAACAGCAGTCTCACGCTCTTGTATATCTGTTTTGAGACGCGCATCATGCAAAGGCAGCGTAATCAAGTTTCCCACATCGGATTCGCGAGATACTGGTAGAAACCGGCGCGTGATGCCGGTTTTAACAGAGCTGACGCAAGACTCGAGTGTCGCTAATTAACGATTCTGGTTGAGCCGAAGAAAAATGCAACGTTATTAGGCGTCTCGTGCTGACAAACGACCAATTATTAACTTACAAGAGTTTTGCCACAAAAGTGATCGGCAGAATGTCATTTTTTGAGGATTTCGAGATAAGAATATGAGGAGCGCTGTGTGGATAACGATTACATGATCCTTTCTACTGCGGATATCATTCGATCCATTGTTTGCGTACATCGCACGGATGAACCGCTTCGAAATTTGGAAATAAGAAGGCGGACTCGCTAGTGGGCGCAAATCTAATTCGCAAGTGGATCGAGTCAAGTTAATCGGACCGGTGTCCACGTGCACGTGCGCGGGTGCGCTGCGGACTCGCTGGAGGCGCGAGCTCGAGAGCTGGCTGGCGGTGGTCAGCTTTGTGCTGACAGCAGATTCATTGAAATTTTAATCGGCGCGATCAAAGCGCCGACCGTGAGTCGCAACTAGAACAAACGCCAGGCTTTTTTCTCTCGCTTCATTGCAGTGGTCGCGCAGTACTTTGAGGTTCAGGTTTACGATCAGTTCGCGATACGCGGCAACGCGGCTATTTTCAAGTGTCAAGTTCCCTCGTTCGTGGCCGACCACGTGGACGTGGTGAGCTGGATCGATTCCAACGGCGGCAGTTATGTCGCTGACGGACAATCATACGGTACAAAAGTGAACAATTACAAACTCTGCACCCCGGTATTCCGCCTTTAGTAGTCAGGAGGAGAGACACACACAGATCCCGTTTATGGCGGGCGCAAATCACCGAACAAGAGAGAACTGGCTCGTTTCTCGTCGATTTCTCTCGTTCCCTGGCACGCTCGTTTCCTAAGCTTCTTCTCCTTATCGATGCTACGCGTCGCGCTATTGACTGCTTTAAATGCGTTCACTGCGCAAGTGTGTACGTGATGCAAAGAGAAATATCGCTCGCGTGTTTGTTGCGATGCGCACTCTTTGTCTTTGTTTATCGAATTTATGTAATGAATGTAATATTCAATATCGATCGCGTCTATTTCAAGACCGGTCGCACGACCAGTTCTCTTCGATGAACGCAGGAACGTATTCTTCAGCAGCCGCGACAGCACAGAGTTGATTTTACGTCGAAGATAATATTAGAAATGTCTCGCAGACATTTAATTCATAGATAGTGAGAGTACACAAATAAGGTGTCTCGTATGTTTGTTCAGCCGAGAGAAATTTGCTAAGTCGCTGTGACAATCATGAGAATACCGTCTCGATCGTTCGTCGAACACATCCCCACCTTTACCATAAACTCAAACTTTAATGGAACACTACAATGAAAATTATAATTATGCACGCTATAATTGAAACTAATCAAATCAAATCAGAGATTGATTGTGACACGCGATTGTGTATTGATTTTCGTATTTTCCAAAAAGTCTAAACGCAAACATTAAAGTAAACATATTGTTATTATTCGGCCACATTAGCAATTATTTGGACTGAAAGTCACGAGCGTATTTACGAATTACGCGATATTCGCGATATTTAACTTTCCTGCACAAATTTTGCGACACTACCGAACGTGTTTTAATTCTACCGCTGCACGCTGCAGAAATATTTAAATCAGATTCATCAAGGCGTGTAATATGTCGAGTACGAATGACGATCGACAAGTTGCGTTTTAGCCAACATGATAGACGTTAAGTAATATCTTCCGATCGGGTTTTTTGGCATCAAATGACACATAAATCTATCACTAAATATTCACTTTGAAATATCTCAAACATCTTTTTCTTTACATCTTTTTTGCAAATTCAGTCGATGCTTACTTGAAAATAAAATGAAACTGTAACTTATTCGGATTATTTGGAAGAGAGATCACGATTATTACGAAACTTTTAATAACAGATCCATATAAAACCCCGGAATACAATTATAGAAACATGCAAACGCGCGCATGCCAACAATTGCGAGTACTCAGCTATTAATGACCATTAATGAGTGACCATTAATTAATTAACTAAATCTACAAATTACTAATAGTGATAATTAAGTCTCGTGCTAGAACCGAATTATCGACCAATATTCGTCGTTCGCAGTCCGTCGTTCGCCTAAAAATCGACTCTTTTTATCTCGCATTTCTCCCTATCTTTTTTATATACGATCGAAACGCAATCAATCGACGAACGATCGATACGTCCTGCTAAGTAGGAGATGTGCGCCTTATGGTAAAGCCGGAAACCGGTGTCTGGTTGCAGTTGTCGGGCAGCGGTATGCAGTGAACGTGATGGACGAACATGTCCTTCGGGGGAACGCCGCAATTATCAAGTGTCACATACCGAGCTTCGTCGCTGAATTCGTCGAGGTTGATTCTTGGATCGAAGACGAGACCACTGATATATATCCTAGCGCCGATTATGGTACACGATACGCAACACATTTCATGCTCGCCTCCACTCTGCTCGAATTCGCGTGAAGACTCGCTGTTTCTAGGACGCTCGCAATTCGCACGACATTATCGAAGTATCTCACGAAGAGAAACTACGAAGAGAAATGCGCATGCATCGATCGTAGGAGTGGCGTTTTATTTTTATGTACATACATATGTTGAGATGAGTTGCGTTATATCCCATTTTTCTTATATAGAAGAACTTCACAAAATTCGAGAGGAAATGCCTCTGCGACACGCAACATCGATCACAGTCGATACAAATAATCCCGGAGCGGATTTCCTGACGAAAGCTCGATTTTCTCTGATTGCATATTTCTGTTTTCTTGCGTGTATTCTGTGTTCCCGTGCAAGACCGTCGTATTTCCATCGCGTTATTCGTTTCCTCGTGAGCGATACGCTCCAAGCAATCGGCAAACGCAGGATTGTGGTGCTTGACGAGTCACTAGCGTACCGCGCAATGTGATTCAAGGATTCTCATGATCACCGTCCGGTAATGACGCTTCGTTCGACGATCGCTCTTTCACGCTCGCGTGCAGAAAAAGATCCTCGTCTCGACCGCGGCGAATAAGAAAACGCGCAGGCTTCGGTCTCACGAGAGAGCATCCGTGGCAAATTCGCAGATACGCAACAGCGATGACTGTACATGAGTCGTTAACTCTATGAGAGACTCACAGGGATGGAGGGAGTGGCGAGGAAAGAAGAACCGAACATATCGGTCGATGTCAGTTTAGTCTGAAGATGGCGAGAATGCAAATCCAGGTTGTCTAAATCGTTCCATCGGCCTCCGCTCTGTCAATCGAGTCCCGATCGAATCACGACACGCGCTAACGAAACACGAGACGGAACACGCACGTTGTCTCTTGCAATCGGATGCCCCTCGTTTCAAAAGTATATACCGTGCAATGTGGGATTTTATGGAAATTCGTACGACGTTGACTGCCGCTGCTCGCGCTGTTCCAGACCTCTCATCCCCTTTTCCATTGATTCTTTTTTTTTTCCGGCCGCACGATCGGCTCATCCGTCTCTTCTCACCTGTGCCCCTCTCTGTGTGTGCTAGTAGCTAAATGGTTATGGATATCGCTTGTGTGTGATCGCATGAAACTAGTTCGTCTATCCAGGAAGTCTCGTTTGTCGATCGAAACTCGGCCGCAAAAGCGGTCCGATTCGTTAGAGGCGTTGAAACTGCAATTTTCACCGCAGCGGAGAGTTACTTTAACGGGTTAATAGGCGAGATCCGTTATATCGCGTTTGTTAAGGTAAAGGTAATTCGTTGAGAGTCGCGCTGAGGTGTTCGCGCCCATTTCGAAAGAGAGATATCGGGGCTTTGAATCGGGGGATAAAAATCTGTACGGTGATAATACGTGATGAGCGCGTTCTCAGTAATTAGTACTCGCATCTGCGACATTAATGTACACGTACTTTTCATTCTATAATTTTAGTTTATAATTAACGCGCTCCTCTCTGCTTCTTTCCCGCTTTATCCTCTGTATTTGCTCGTTATCGCCACGAACACGCGATTTCAATGGTTCTTCAGAAAGTAGGGCCGCGATTTCCTGGATGCTTCAACGGTAATGAGGAATATTGCGCGTCGTGATTTATCACTCGCGAATGGACGGGGATTCTGCATCGCAACATGGCTCAAGCTCTCTCTCTCTCTCTCTCTCTCTCTCTCTCTCTCATGTCTATACGACGACGTAAGCGCAAGATTCTCATGCCGTTGTTTGGCGAACGTGCTTGGACTCCGTGAAGAATTCGCCGAACGTCGCGACAGCGGGATATTAACGAATGGTCCGCGCTCGTCCAGCGTTCGACGAATTTGTACACGCGAGGGATACTGCATGTATATTAATCGAGACGGCATTGTGCTCGAAGAGCCTCGCAACTTTACGTCGCCGGCGTTCGAGCATCGTGCGATCCTGTCAGGATAATCGACGTCTTCTTGGTGTTAACTAACGGCACATGCGTGCGTGCTAATAATTAATAAATTAATCGGCCGAAGCGAGTATCACGCGAGACACTCAACTCGATAATTGGCGATCGATCATCCTGACAGGTCACGTGACTAAGGCCAACGTACGTTGACTAACTAACTCGAGCGTATCCGTTCTCGGGCGGGTTTAGATGGGAAATACTTGGTGCTGCCGTCTGGAGAACTGCACATCAGAGACGTCGGACCCGAAGATGGATACAAGACTTACCAGTGCCGCACGAAGCACAGGCTCACAGGTGAAACTAGGCTGTCCGCCACGAAGGGACGTCTCGTCATAACCGGTGAGTCGAGAAACGCAAAAAGTCTCCCGTTCTCTTTCACATGGAAATTACGATTCTGATTCAGCAGCGCTCTCTTTCAACTAAACGTTTCTCGATCCTCGTCCTTCGATGTAAGCGGAGGGATTCGCAGCCTCGTTAATACCTTTTACATTTGCATCTGGTTCTCCAGACGAAATCAGAATCGTATTTCTCGCTTTCGGACCCAGCCATACCATCATTCACACATTAGAGCTTGAGATCGGTGTGGTTAATATTCTTAGTCGCAACGTTCGTTTCACACAATTACACACTTTATGTACGAAAGATATCATTAGAAGACTATTATCTTGCGACGGTTCGTTTATCCTTCGCTTTAACGTTAAACACGCGAGTGTTCCATATTTGAATAAACTTGACACTATCAGGCTAGTTTACGTGTTCCGCTACATAACTGAGCGAATTTGGAAACGGAGATTTTATCATTATCGCAAATCACCCATTATATCGCGAGGTGTGTCTGGGTTCGGAACCATCTGCCAGGAGACAACTGACTTTCCATAATTGCGCGAGAATGATCTCTCTTCATTTCGAGCAGTCATCATTTGTAATCTTCGAATTTCTTTGCTCTATAAAATATTATCGTATTGTCAGGAAAACAGTTGTTTCCCGGTCTTGTAGTCACGTTCGATGAACGCGATCGTTTGTGCCAACGAGCTTGATCGTCGTTCGTTCAGTTCTCTGGAGACGCGTTAGATCATTTATCGAGGAGAATCGTTCGACATTGTTCATTTCACCTCTTGACCCTTTCTTCGTCTTGAACGGGAAACTTACCCGGTGCATATCGCGATCAAGCTCGTAGGTGAACCTGAATGCTGGGACAGGGTACCCCTGCGGGCACGCGCCACCGCCCGCCCAAAACTCGACTCTTGGCATGATCGGTTTCGAGTAATTGTTCAGAGAAAAGAAAGAAAGATAAATGAATAGTAGAAGAATAAGAAAGGAAAAGAGAGAAATGTCTCGTGCGAAATTCTTCCTCCGACGCTTCGCGGCGCCTTCCGCGATCTCCGGGCTCTGTCCTTCGCTCTCGCGCGGTAAGTTTACGGAACATGTTCTTTCAGCCGAAAACTCCACCGTGTGGATATTGCGCACGTGGCAATAGACGTGGCATTCGATGCAGCTGAGCTCCGTTCTGTGCTGTGAATTAGGCGGAATCGATCGGCGGGTTTTTGTTCGTTTCCCTCGGTAAATTTAGCAGCGAGATCTCGGGCCGTTCAGTGCAACAGTGTCCAGCCATATATCTGAAGGATTAAAAGCGTCAAGTAGCGAATGAATCTTGACGCAGAATTCAGCTGTTCACAGCTTCCCTGCTAGTACGGAAATCGAAAATCTTGTATTTATTAGAAATCATCATGCAGCCCGACTGACATGTACAAAGATTTATTCCTTATTCACTCGAGACCACTGTGTATCCCTCAACGGCCCGTTTTATCGTGCGCAACTCGGGTAGTCCAAAGTTAAGCGAGATCTTCTTTCACTCGAGTTTATCATCTCGTGGGACCTCGCATTGACAATGCGTAAAAACACTTTCGCCTCGCCGCTGATCGCCGTCGAGTACCGTACTCGTGTGATCGGCAGGATGACACCGATGAGCGAATCGCTATGCTCGCGCAGCGCGAGAGCGGCGCAGTAGTACGAAAGCGAAGTTGTCGAGTCACATCGACGGAACACGGTGTGCGATGCAATAATCTAGGGGCTAACTAGAGCAAGATGCGATTTAGCCGTAATAACGATGATTGACGGCGCGGACGAGGGTCTATAAGTACGTGGCTCCTCTATTCGCTTTTCGTTACGCAGAACCCGTGGGGAGCGTACGACCGAAATTTCCTACAATGGACAACATAAATGGACTTTCTGTGGGCCTGGCAGGCGATATACCGCTCCTGTGCCCTGCCCAAGGATTTCCGGTACCGTCTCATAGGTACGGTAATCTTGTCCAAAGCTGAAAATAAAATCTGTCGTCGTATGTTGCGGAATATTAAATGACTGATATGAGATAGATCGCGCCTAGGGATGCTTACCTGAACGCGATTGCGGTGAATAATTAAACTCGTTCTCATTATCTGGGTCGCGCCACTGGGGCATTGATCTATGAAGGGCAGGAGATACTGTTGACTGTCGAGGCGGACAAAGATGCGTTGCTGATAGCGAAGGCGGCGTTTCGTTAGTTTTACCCGCTTGGAAGTGACGGGATGAATTCAGGGTGAAAGGAAACAGCTATAGTGTCTATTTTAAGAGTATATTCTTTGAATAGATATATTTCTATTTTCGTTTCAGTCGGATAACTCTTAATCGCCATTTATCGCGAAGTCGGAAGAGTTTTATTTAAATACAGGACAAGGAAAGTGAGCATGTTGAACGTTTTTCAGCCAGGGTTACCGGAACGATTCACGATCAATCCTCTACAATTACACGCGTGGCTCGCAACTGATCGGACGATTATAAATTTCATACGACATAAAAGCGTCGTTGTTGCACGTCTCCGCGAATTGTGTTCAGTGGTACCGTGTGTCTAACACAGGGGTTCCCCGTTCCCTCTCGCTGACCTAGTCGAAGCGGCTAGTAGGTAGTTTCGTCGTTCGTTATTACTCTTCGAGAACAACCAAATGAGACCGTCGCGGCTGAATGAGTCTGTCGGTGACATTTTCGCGCGGCTTAGCCGTACCTTGCATCAAACCTGCGAACGAGTCCGAGAGACGCAAGAGCAAAAACGGCGTGGTTTTTAGAGCCGGTGGGCAGCGTGCGCCCAAAGATCCCGTCGACGGACGACATACGCGGCTTCCGGACGCCCGTAGGAGGCTCCCCGGCCCTGATGTGCCCGGCACAGGGGTTCCCCGTTCCCCTGTACAGGTAGAGACAGCAGCGCGAATGCGATCGAACGCGAGTCCTTCGGGACGACCGTTCGCCGTGGTGGACGCAAGAGTCCAATTTAACGGTATGATCAGAGCCGGTCGGCAGCGTGAGGCCCAAGTTCCCGACGATCGACGACTCCAGGAGCTTCCGCACCACGAAGGACGGCTCGGTAACGTTGCAGTGCCCTGCCCAGGGGTTCCCTGTCCCCCTGTACAAGTAAGTCGCGGGAGTCGCGTTATCCGTCGCTATACACGACTTTTCCTCTCTTTCTGTCGACCTTCCGGCTTGCCGTCGCAGAGCCTGTGGGAAGCGTGCGTCCAAAGTTCCCGAGCGTCAGCAACATAAATGGCCTCACCACGTCCACGAACGGAATCCTGCCGCTCCTGTGCCCCGCTCAGGGCTTCCCGGTGCCGTCCTATAGGTACATCGCCGAGTGGCCCGGTGCCCGCTTTTAAAGCGACGTTGATTCTCGCGCGAGATCTTTCATTATAAAATTGCGATTAAGCATTCCGGCGTAACAGCTGGTTATTAATAATGACGGCACGCCCGACATCGCAACGGTCCTCGTTTCCTCGTGTCCCCTAATTGGCGATATGACCCGAATCTAATATTAATGAGGCCTAATGAAGACTCGATAGCGAGCGCAATTAGCTTCTCATTATGCTGACGTCATTAATCTTGCAGCCCCCTCGTGTTGCACCTTGCAGTTGTATGCCTTACTTATTTTATTCTTTTTTATTTGTTATATTTCATTGTGAGAAAGAGACGATGCGTATCATCGCATTTTATATTGGGTTGTTCGGGAGGTAATTTCGATTTTTTCAAATAGATGGTGTTAGTTGCCTTTTTAAGCTCATTCTAACCTCATTCTAAATTAGAAAATCATTTTGCACTTTTGCAACGTACATTTCAAGCTTCATTTGGAGAAGGTTGTTTTGGAATCTGTCAAGTTGTTTTTGTTTGGCGTCGCATCGACAATGGAAAACCAACGTGAGCATTTTCGTTACATTTTGCTTTTTTATTATTGTAAAGGCAGAAATGCTGCGTAAGCAAGGAAAAAATTGTGTGCCGTGTATGGAGAGAATGTGTTGACTGAACGCCAGTGTCAGAATTGGTTTTCGAGATTTCGTTTTGGGAATTTTGGCCTCAAAAATGCACTGGAGAGGACATTAGTTGAGGCTGATGAAAGTTATGATGAAATAAAAGCATTGGTGGACTCAAATCGTTATTTAACAACACGACAAATTGCTGAAGGATTGAATTTATCGAATTCGACCATGCATGAGCATTTGAAACAACTTGGTTTCGCTTCGAAGCTGGATATTTGGGTTCAATACGTTCTCAAAGAAAGAGATTTGATTCGTCACATTATCGTCTGCAATTTGCTGTTGAAGCATGAGGAAAATGATTCATTTCTGAAGCGATTCATAACTGGAGATGAAAAATGGATTGTGTACAACAATATTAAACACAAAAGATTATGGGGCAGATATGATGAACCAGCTGAAAGTACATCGAAAGCTGATATCCGTCGAAAGAAGATGATGCTCTCTGTTTGGGTGGGATTGGAAAGGAACAGTTTTTCTCGAGCTGCTACCAAACAACCAAACGATTGATTCGAATGTGTATTGTCATCAATTGGACGAATTGAATGATTCCATCAAGCAGAAAAGACCAGAATTGTCGAACAGAGAGGTGTTGTGTTTCATTATAACAACGTCAGACCTCACACAAGTTTAATGACTCGCTAGAAACTATTAGCATTTGGATGGGATTTACTACCACATCCACCATATTCACTGATCTGGTACTATTTGATTATCAATCGTTTCGGTCATTGTAAAATTTTTTGGACGGTAAAAATTTCGATTCGAGTAAAGGTGTCAAAAACCACTTAATTCAACTTTTTGCCAATAAGGACCAGAAGTTCTACGAACGTGGAATCGTGTTATTACCTCAAAGATGGCAAAAGGTGTTAGAACAAAATGGGGGTCAATACTTAACAGAATAAGACTTTTCTTTCTATTAAAAATATCGTCTCTCATTTTCATGCAAAAAACCGAAATTACTTTTTGAACAATCTAATATTTTACAATAATATATAATCATGA